TTAAGCGTAATAATGCATCATTTGTTGAAGCACTTTGTTCCTTAATTCAATCCTAATTTATGATGTGGCATCTAAGCTAAACTTGAGTTTCATACTATTCTTCTCTGTTATATTGCAATAAATTGTGATGATTCAGAATAAGTCACAAACAATATTTTCTATACTTATTAACTCAGACTAATGAATTAAAATTTGATATAACATCCTACCGTGAAAAAAAAAAAAGTAGGAACCACAAAAGATCATAATTTATCAATTAGTTCAAGCGGAGCAGACAGAGAACGATTCATCAACTACCATAGAAGAAAGCTGTGTAAAGTAAAATTGAACGAAATTATTTATTTGAAACTATTTGAAGATGTTGTCAGACAGGGTAAACGTTCTATTATAGAACGAACAATCTGTGAGATGTAAACTGGAATAATCGTTAGAAATTATTTTTATAAATTTTATGGAATAAAAAAGTAAAAGCACAAACAACACGTACGAATGATATACATATATAAAAAATACACAGAATAATTTACTGTTCAAAGTTCACTGCTTAATATAGATGGTAATTTGCGAGAAACAATTTTGTATCAAACATGGGATGAAACAATTTGAACCTAAGAAACTTCTTATACATTACATACAAATGAAAAGAAAAAAGAAAAATCAATTTAATTCCAGCATAGAAAATTAAACGAGTAAAATTTGAACACATAATGCTCATTTTCACATACGAACAAAGAAAACATTATTCAAATCTTGTGAAGCTAATAAAATAAACCCAAGCAATGGCCTATTCTTTCAAAAATACGCCTGAAGTTCAAACCATTTTATTTTTCAGACGTTAGCGATTTCCATAAGTTTTACGACTTAAGCATTAGCTTCATCAGCCAAAAGTGAAGTACTGTATGCGAGATCCCAAAAATGTGCTGCTCCATGCTTTTCTAAGATTTCTCGTGCTTGTTTTTCTAATGTAGCAACCATACACTTCACTTCACCAAAATTTCGTCGTTTTTGAATACCTTCCCAAATCTAAAATTCCATAACTTAAAAAAATAAATTAACTTTATCATGCTGTTTAATAACATCTTAATATAATCCCTTTAACAAGTTATTCTATTGGTTATTTGAAATAGAACATTTCAAGAAAAATGAAAGACCGTTGGTTGACAGGAAAACTGATTCACGATCTCTGTAATATATATAAGAATTGGAAGAGTATTTTTTGCTATCTTACATAGTGACTCAATATTTTTAACAATTTCTTTGATTTATTAAATTTTATCTCACATTCCGAATTTATCTAATTTTCATTCTAGGGAAAAGATCACCAACCAGGGAACAATCATTTCTTTCACCAGGAGTATCTTTATTTTCAGCTTCTTTTTTTTGACCAATAATTTCATCTCCCCATTTGATCCGACTCAACATCAAGTTTTTGAATGCTTTCTGTTGCTTTGGTCCTAAAATAAACAAAAACAGGTATTCCTCTAAATGCTTAGGAGAATTAAGTATGATCAAATATTAAATTAGGACAACCTATATAAAATGTAATAAATTCTAAACGTACCGCCTTCAACAATTACAAGATTGATATTATTGTGCAGCAGAATCAAACCAGTCATATGCAACTGCTTAGCATTCATTTCAACTTTGAACTTCTTTGCTGGATGAGCCAAAGATTTGACCCTAAAAAAAGGAACTATTTATTTCCGATTCTTTGTCTACAACAACATTTTAATAAATGGCCAAACCACATCGAAAGTGTTTTTTAGTGAGAAAGAACAACCTTATTTTTTTTCCGCAGTCCCATCTAAAAAATTATAATTAAATAGAATATCAACTAAAGAACTAACTTATAAACTGTCATATGAACAGCCAAAGATGTGTCTTCCTTAATTTTTCGAATTTTTTTTTCCGATCGTTGCTCTTTGGTAAGTTTTCTTTGTTGATTTGTTACTTCATGCTTTCGCTGCCTTTCAGCCATTTGTTTACGTACATGAGCTTCAACTTTAGTCGGATCCTGGACAGCATCCGAACCCAGTACCCTCATCAAATTTGATAATTTAACTTTCGGCTCTGGAGCTTTGATTAAACCCAATCTGAAGGAAGTTGCTATAAAGAATCTTTGGGACAGAAACCATTATCAAAATTTAAACAAGGAAAATAAGTAGTTTTTAGAAAAATATCCTTAATGAAGAAACCTTATTTTTTCCGTCTGTTCCTTTTGTGCTTCCTTTCTATTTTGCCGTCTGATCTTTTTTCGTTCTCGACTTGTTAAATAAACCTTCAATAAAATAAACAAGAATTTTTAAATACTAGTAAAAGCTTTAAAAGAATTCATAAGGAAAATATTTCATACACAAAAAGCAGTAAATGCTTGCCTTTAGATACTGCGGTTGAAGAGGCTCATCAGGGGGTTTAAGTTGAATAGGATGCTCCACCAAATTTGTGATCGTTTTCACATACTTATTGTCAGAATCAATGTTCTCATCAGGTATCATATCATAACTACCACCTAATACAACTTCGTCCCACCACTCTACCAGTGGAACATCACTCACCTGAAAATTTAATTAGTCAAAAATATTGCCTTGGTTTTTTGGTCATCGAAAGGTATATACGATTATTTTACTTGTTCGTAATAAATGTGCCTTTTTTAGTGGTCGCACTAAAGGATGACGAATCATTTTCCCTCATTCTTATCGTTAAGGAAACCTGTTCATCAAAGAAAATAATTAACATACTGCAGATGATGATGGAGTTAGCATAGCCAGTTTTACTGATGAGGACATTCCTGTTTTCTTCGCTATCTGTGTGATTTCTGCTTGCAAAATTGCTAGACGAGCTTTGGCTCGCTCACGTTGGGCCAATTTCTCAAATTCGCCTTTATCATGGAAAACAATTGCACGCTGCTTCCGCTGAGCGGATTTTAAACTAAAATCAAAATTAATGTCACCTTCATCAACATCTCAGAAATGAATTTAACCAGAAATTATGTCCAATTAATTAAGATATTGGAAAAGTTTAGTTCACTTCTAAAACTATGGGTTACAATTTATAATCCATTTTCGAAATAAATACTGACCTAATACGAGGGTCTAGATACTCAACAATCCTCTGTTCCGGTTCATCAACTGATTTTGCTTTTGAAACTGCTCCATTGCCTGCATCCTTTCTAATAAGCTGCGCAACTGTTGCTGTTCGCTGTGCTAATTTTTCTTTCAGTTCTTTGACCCTGCAGAAAAGAATTACGCGAAATTTGGATAATTATGCAATTTCAGATTTTTATGAAAAAAAATGAGTGAAAAAAATTATTAAACCTATTAATTTTCTCCATCGAATAGTTCATAAACATGCTAGCTTCCTTCGTATTCAGTTTTGATGCTTTTGAAATTACAGCTTGAGCTACGATGCCAGGCCTTGCTGTGAGATTCAGTTGTCGCTTCCGCTCCTCAATTGCCATTTGAGCTTGATACATCAGTTCTTTACTTTTAAGCTCCTGAAGTTAGTGTATGAAAACTTAGTTCATCTTACGATGCTGCAATTCATTTCGTAAAGTACAAGAATGTCACAAAATTCTGCTTTCACAGAATACTGATCACTACGTTTTGGTTTCTGTCTCTCTTTTCATATCATTGTAAATCAAAACCAATCATAAACCGACCAAAAAGAGAATTTAAAAAAAAAAAAAAAAACATATTTCTGTGAAAAAAATATTGATTGGCAGCAACTGTCGTATTGCTTTTCAACTTTTTAGATCAATTTATTGATGTAAAAACTGACTTCTTCTGTAATTTCATCTGAATTCTTTGATTCTGTTTTGATAACAGAAGCGTTTGACAATATCGGCTTAGTAACGACTGGTGCAGCTCGTGCTGGATTGGAGTCCGATCGTTCTTCAAGTTTAGGCTTTTTCATTATCCCTTCTTTAGCATCCTTCGTCTCTTCAAACTGAAATTTACGAAATTTCGCCATCTTGAAATTTAGCAGTGAAAATCCTTTTGATTTCAAGTAATTAAAATCGCACTGCAGTATAAAAAAAATATAATCAAAAACTCTTTCGATTAATTAAGAAAATACGATAAGAAGAGACTCGGGATAATTATGTGTGCGTGTGTATTACGTGCGCAAGTAGCATGGTGTGAAAGACTAAACTCCGCTGAAGAACAACCAAACACCCATTAAACAACCTCAAAAAATTGTGTGAACTTCTGTGTGTATCATTAAGCACACCACTGATCAATTAGTGATCAGTAATCCAAACTTTTCAAGTTGCTGTAAAAGTACATTAAATCTTAAAATTCAAACTCACATCTTGAGCAACGAATCAGAAACGAATTAAAAATTGTTAAGATCCCAAAACTAAAACGTTGAATAACAAGAAACAAAGATATCTCTTATAATCTAAATTTATCTCAATTTATAGAATATTTTCAAAGAAACAAAGGAATAATAATACATACCCGATGTTTCCGTTTTCGGGCAAATTGTGGAAATGCATCGGAAAGCGCATCGATTAAACGCTTCCGTGTGGTTGAATCACGAAGGTGATCGCCGACACGGTCCCTCATTTTCTCATAATCATAACCTTTCCGCAAACATCGTTCCACAATATCAACAAGTTTATCATCTCGTTTATCAATATATTTCCGCACTAGCTTCTCCACATTACGATCACCCATTATTATATTATTCAGCTTTAAAAACTATTCGGCATAAAATTATTATGACAAAAATCCCCGTAAGATTACATAAGAAAACCTCATAAAACCAAGCAGAATAAAATCCATCGCAGCCTGCATACATATGCAGCTCAGATAAACCTCCCTGCTTCCATATTATTTATGTGTTATGTGAAATTGGAGTTTAAAATTTAAACTTGTTAATACAAATGCGAAATGATACGCAAATAATTGGCAATGTTTGGTTATAAAACAAGGGAAATACAACAAAAATGTTTATTCCAGTGCTATTATAACAAACAACGAAAAGATATATGATTTTTTTCAAGCAATAATTTCGAATTTTACTGGAACGAGCAACTGAGGCTTATTGGAACGTGTTTTGACCAAATGGGCTTTCCTCGGCTCTTTTGGCTGAAATCGGCCAGAAATTATTTACATAATTAAAGGTGATAAAAAATAGCATGTGATGCACTTAACAATATATTCAAAGCCGATATTACTCTAATAATAAAAAACTTAATAAATTTTTTATATAGAGGGTGGATAAACAAAGGGAAAAATGACAACAAAAAGAATATATTCTTATATACAATAATCGAACTAGTTTGTTTTGCTTTCTGCGAATTAAAATTCCGCCACAACTTATTCATTAAACGCGACTTAAAATTAAGAGAATGAACTGTTAACCATTCTTCTGATTGGTACCATTTGACCAGTTTCCCGCGCAATCCTCTTCTTTTCCTCATTTTCCTTAACTCGGTTCAGAAAATCTTGACGACACTTCGACGGTCTCACATGCTCGATGCGAACATTAATACGTTTTTGTAGAATGCGGTTTCTAGAAACATTTAAAATTAGCAATCTTTTAGTTCCTAAAATGAATTATCTATCTTCAAGCCATAATTTTTGGGTCTTTGGCCATCATTCTTGGTAATAACCAGGTTTCATCAAAACGTTTGAACTTCCACCTCTCAGTATCTCATGTTAGCAATTAGAAGCAAAGCTAATACAAGCCTTGAAACTAAAGATTTTTGCGATGAAAAACGGAAACTGACCTGACGCGTTTGTTGACCAAAACTCCTACAGCATGTTTGGTTACATTAAAAACACGTCCAGTTCGTCCATGATATGCCTTGAAAGGCATACCCTTCTGAAAGGCACCGTTTCCTTTAATGTCAACGATGTCACCACGTTTGTAAGTCCGATAAAATGTCGACAACGGTTCAATCCCATGTTTCCGAAATTCTCTAGCAAACATATAACGTGTACCACGACGAATACCTTTTGGGTTCACCATTTTTTTTATCTGAAATATCGTGAATAATACAAATTTCACGTGATCGAATAAGAAGTGCCAAAGTTCCTGTCGGAAAGAATAAGAAGTGTTGAAGTAATCTTATTTTCAAGCAAAATCCCCTGCCAAAGATAAGCAATGATTTTGTACTTGTTTAAGCATAAAGAGACTTTGGATATACATGTATAATCTTTAATCAGAAAATGATGTATGATGCAAAACAAGCATGGCATAAAAATACATACATACATAATGTTTATATAACTAAGAAATGGCATAAACTGTACTTGCAAAAACTTAACCAAAATTTATTTCTTTGTCATTAATAATATATTTCTTCTCAGATAATTCTATTTTCGAAGACTTTCAAATACAGACAAATAATAATTCTGAATACATACAACTAAAAATACTTCTAATATACAACACATAATATAAAAATTCCCGTTAAAATAACAAAATACTTTCATCTCAACTAAAACTTAATTATTCTCAAACAAAAGTTACAGAAGTTACTAATAAATTATCGAATATTTCAAATTATCTTAAAGCTATTTCTATCAATGAAAGCATACGAAGTACTATCTATTAATACAAATGTCTCATCACATTTAAACAAATAGCCGGAATAAACGAAACATCCAACAACTTGCGCCACTCCTAGAGTCCTACTAAATCCAAAACGCCAACATTTAATGGACCAAGATGGTCCGTAAATTTCAAACGTCATCCCAACCACTTTATTAATCTTATTGATTGCTGGAATTGTTAAACTTGTTGTTACTGTCCTGTTTTCGTTACTATCTATTCCGGAATTTGACTATGCCTTTTTTTTCCGATTTCTGAAGGATTTTTTTTTAGTGAGGTTTTTTTTCCGTGTTCGCTTGAAAACTAGTAGTTTTTGTTTAAAATTACACAATACTAACGTATACATTTTGTGTTAGCGGATAAAACTTTATAAAGTGTGTGTCAGTAGATAAAACTTCATAATTTAATTGATTATCTGCTCCAGAAGAGCCATATATTTTCGAGATGTTTAGGCGTGTGCTGTACTGAAGAGAAATGAAACTGTTGTTTACAATAATACGACATTTTATGTATAAAAGGTTTCAGGAATAATTTCTGCTATTGAAAATGATTTATTTAGGAATAAGGAAATATCAGATGCATGTTATTAAGTTATATTATTTTTGATAACTTTTGTTTCTCGGGATATTTTACAGAATTAAGAAAGTCAGTAAAATGTGTAACTTTAGAACCTTAAAACTTGTAAGCATATTCCCTGACACCCAATGAATTGATGTGGTATTAAGCTTAGATTCATATTATTTATTGAGATGTTTTCTCGAATTCTGTGGCATAACCTATTAATTGATGGAATACTTTCTTAATAAATGTGGTAGGATACGTTTTCTGTAGTCATTTTTCGTTAAATTATTTTCAAGGATTTTCAAATGTTGTGTAAAATACTTTAATTAATAACATATCAAGTATTCCTCTGATTATTGGAACAATTGTCGTTGTTTTTTTTCTTTTTTGCTAAACTTTAGGATGTGAAGTTTTTCTTGACTTTCTCATATCTTTTTCTTTTAAATTAATAGTCTGCTTTTGCTATAACAATATCACTGAATATTCATCTCGTGTTCTTAACACCACTGATATCGAAAGATGCTACATCATCTTATCAATATGTTTTTTTTTGTCTTTAATTAATAGCTCTTTCTTTCTGGATTGCTACTATATGAGTCATAGTTCGCGGGCTGGATTTTTTTTGCAAATGTTTTATTTTAAGAATAATGGTTCTCGCTAGTTATGCGTATAGATTTATTACCAAACGTTTTTCATCCCTTTTTGTGGTACTAACTGTTGGTGCAATCGCAACAGATTTGGTCGTTGATAAAGGTGGTGATTATCTCTTCAAGCAGGTAGTCCCTATTTATCATTTTTACCATCCAGTGTTATGTAAATGGGTTTTTGTATTAAAAAAAAAAAAAAAAAAAAGTTTTTGTATTATAATACAAACATTTGTAATATAATACCATAATAGCAGTTTATTTTTGTCGGGCGATTTCTCTCCTTAACTCTACATATGGAAACCTTTACAAATAATTTAGTTGGTACTTTTACTCCTTGCTATTATTACTCTTCTAAGAGTTGTGATTTTTTTTTTCAGTACAACAAAGGAAAGTTATGGGAAGACATCAAGGACAAATATGTTGACGATTTGGCTTTTACGGGATAACGTTAATGTTTCCTCAGATATTGATTATTGTGGACTTTGTACCATTATATCTCGGTATTTAGTGATTATTAGCCTTTATTTTGTATAAACAAGTACTCAAAGAAAAATTAGTTTCGTAGCAACTATATATAATATAACAACAAAATTTCATTTTGGAACAAACAAGCCATAGCCTATAGTTGACCAAGGCTTTTCCTTTCAAAAGAAAAAAACAGATTATGTATTGCCGGAAAAAATAAATGAAGAAATTTGGCGCAATTCAATCAGCAACTATATGAAAGGCTTACGTAATTATATTATGAATGCCTTTTTCGTTTTCTTGAAAGAAACTTGAATTACATACGACTTAATCAGCAAGCAGAATCATTTTGCTATTCTTTTCACTTTGCTATTTTTTAGACTCCTCAAAAAAGATGCAGCTTACCGTACAATCGGTAAAAACCTGATAAAAAGCTTAACTAATTTTGTTTGAAAAACTCCAATAAAAAGTTCCATAGATTTCTAGATTATATATATTATAAACATAAGTACCATGGAAATGCACAAAGTCACGGTATTCAATACTGGTGTTATCCAAAGCAGTCCTATATCATCCATTTAAAAAGTGTATAAAAGTTTCCTCATTTATAACAAACTGTAAACAATTTCACCTACACATATAAGTAACTATTCAATACTGGTGTTATCCAAAGCAGTCCTATATCATCCATTTAAAAAGTGTATAAAAGTTTCCTCATTTATAACAAACTGTAAACAATTTCACCTACACATATAAGTAACTATTCAATACTGGTGTTATCCAAAGCAGTCCTATATCATCCATTTAAAAAGTGTATAAAAGTTTCCTCATTTATAACAAACTGTAAACAATTTCACCTACACATATAAGTAACCGCAATTAGAACAATTTGTTTTTCCTTAAAACATGTTATACAAGATTCAGATTCAGTTACTTGAAGTTGAAAAAAAAATGAACTTTTCAATCATCCCGAACATCCTCGACATCCACAATGGACGCATTCTACCACGCGGCCCTGAAAATAGCTCCGGTTAATTTTCTCCTTCTACTTAATTTTCACCTATTAACGTCCCATAAAATCTCTTCCTTGCACGGAACTACATAATACAACAGTCAATTATCACTGTTCTTAAGAAAAACATAAGTAGTGTATTAAGCAAGATACAGATCGAGTACTACTCAGCATGTATGATTCCAGGAAGTGCTATAAAAGGTCATAATTAAGATATACAGTAGTTGGTAGGATATATGGGGTGCATAATACAAAAATAAAACACAACGCTTGCTTCTTCCCTCTCTTTTCCTTTTTCCGAATTTTACTCAAAAACCTGAAGAGTAAATATCTAAATTTTTCTAGTTCTTCATTGCCTATTATATATTAATTTCCTTAGTACATAAACATTTTCTTCTATTTACTGAAATGTGTTTTCAGTCAACAACGATTCAGTCTGCAACCAGATCGGTTCATGCGGTTTTTCCTTTTGTACGTTTAAGAAATCTAAAAATGAAAAAGAAAAATGATAAAACGAAAATGATCTACTAACCACATCTAATTTACTCTTCGGCACACGACATATACAGTTGGTGCCAAAATTAGTATCCCTCGTTTGGATACATCGTAAACAACATAAATTCTCATATCCTTGTTTCTTCCATTTCGCTATCAATTTCTCATCCGCTAATTTGGTATCCAAACAAAACTGATATAATTCTCTGCTGATTACTTGACGTTTGTAGTATAAATCATAAATATATCTTGACCGCTGATGATGTATCTGGAAAAAGATCAAAAAATTTCTAATTTTGTATGCCTCCATATAAATGTCATTCTAATCTGCACACCGCCACACGACTACTAAATACATCACATAACATTTAATTATATACTGGATGAGGTCAGAATATACCAGTCTTTTCTCGCCTTTCCCAATTCATTTTTCTTTTGCAAAAACATCAAATACTAACTTTGAAGATAGGCCAAAGGGTTTCTGTCTTGCGTTTTCCTTCATGAGGATCTGTTTCGGCTTCACGCATCTTCGCTTCAAATTCATCTAATGTTGGTTCAATTAAATCCCATCCTTCTGGTGGCTGCTTATGCATTCGTCGTAAACGATTAGCAACAGACATCACTTTTTCAGTTTGAAATTTAGAAATTCCAAAAACCTTGTGATGACAGCAATTTCACGAAATAACAAATCGTAATATTGTTCTGAACAATTCCAAATAAGATTAATCGTTTCATTTTGACACACACATATTTGATATCAACTATTTTTTTTTTTTTTTCGTCTTATTAGATATCCATATTTAGATGAAAATGCTAGAACATATTGGAATTAAATATCACACCAAAAAATATCTTGAGTAATCGCCTTATGAATAATATTTTTGAAATGATAAGCTTTATATGATACTCAATGTCACTGAAATACCATCGGTTATTTTACTATTTAGAGCTATTTAGAACAATATCGACTATTCTTGTAACTCGAGGAGCTACTTAAATACCATTCGGCTATTCCATTTCCGTTTTGAACCACACACAAATACCACTAGATTATTTTACAACTACCATTCAAATATTCCAGTAGTTCGAACCCTTAAATATGATTTACCCTAGTAGTTTAAACTATATTCAAATCTCACTCCACTGTTTCAGTAGCTTAAGAAATCATTACCTTGAAAGAAAATGAAACCCACCAATTTGCTATAAAGAAAAGTTCAATCCTCGGGAAAGCTAGTCAAATCTACCAAGCCTTCCCCTTCAAGCATCAAATTTTCACTGGGCTAGGATGGCCCGTTACATACAGACAGCCTCGTTATGAGATTTAATTAACAAATGATTCCTTGTAAAATGAGCCATTGACGGACGCTTCTTTTCTAACTCTGTCAACCTTTTTTGTTCTGAAATTTAAAATTAGCATAGTCAGCGAAAAAAAAAAAGTCTTTTTTTTTTTGTCACTTACTCATACTCTTGCATTGCTCAATTGCTAAATTACATTATTTTCCTTGTGTTTCATATATTAAAATACCTGAATCCCTTTAACCATTTTTAGTCTCTTCCTTTTCTCCCACTTATCATAGATAAAAAGCAAATCGTAAGTCTTTCTTTTTATCATATAATTTAATCAAATAATTACTTTCATGCTTCTATTCAATTCATTTTCTTCTCATTTATCATTTGCATTCATTAGAATCATTATTTTTTTTTTCCGGTTTATAATAATATTCGATTAATATTCGAATCTTGTCTTTCCTATCATTTATTTAAAGTTAAAAATAGCAATCAAAAACACTTCATATATCATAAATTTACTTAGAATAATTTACAGCAATAAGTATTCTCAATTTACTAATATATTTTATCTCGAAAGTTCTTACAAATATACAATTTTGTTGGTAAATTAAAAAAAAAAAAAAGTTACTGGTAAATTTAGAAATTTATTTTACAATACTGAATGAAAGTAGAAAAATTCAGTAACATGCAGACTTCGAGAGATCTATGAAAGGAAATAAATAAAACTATAATTTCAATGCACAACTAATGAAAATAGTATCTGTGATCACAGTATGTTTCAAACAATTGATATATTTGATAATCAGATAAGTGCAAATTAAATATCAATGAGAATTGGTTAAATATAAACTAAATATCAAAGATAATCAACTAAATACTTATTGACAATGGATAAACAAAAACAATCACTGGCAATCATATGCTATCATTTACAATCGGATAAATTTTTTTATTGACAATAGATAAACATAAATATAAATTAATTTCACTGACAAATAAAATCGGAACAAAGGCTAAACAATACAATAACAGATGATGATATTAATCGATCAATGAAAATGGGAAACTTTTGAAATGTGGAAATTTTTTAATAGAAAAAAAAAAAAAAAAAAAAGAAAAACAGCAGCTAATCTTTTTCCAGAATGATCTATATCACATTTTTTAAAAAAAAGTGTTTTATCTAAGTTATATAATTCATATCACTTATAGAAGTTAGTTGTAACATATTTAAAAAAAAAAAACCAGAATAATAAAACATTGGGAATGTTTTCGAAAGAAATGAAACTTTAATGATAGATACTAATCAAATGAGATCTGAACCACAATAACGAAAAAAGACACAAGAAGAACTGAATTTTCTTTTACTGAAAATGACAATTTCAATTTCTCGTAATGATCGTTAGCTAGTAGCTCACAACTAGTTAAAATCTTCAAATTTTAGTACATTCCTGAAGTTCTCCCCAACTTTTACCAAATGAAATTTTAACTGCCAATGGAACCCGTAAATTTGGAGTAACCGATGTCATAGAATGTTTGATAATTTCAACAATTGAAGCTATCGAACTTTCATCCGTTTCTATTAACACTTCATCGTGCAATTGCATGACGATAGATGAATTAGTACCTAAAATGTAAATATATGCGAATATGTTAACTATTTCAAAATCCTCCTAAAATTTTCAATATATTGTGTTTTTAAAACAAATTTTGATAAAAAAAAAAAATATTCTGTATTCAAATTATTTTTAGGAATGTTAAGTGTAGTTAGTATTTGGTATGTTAATAAATTCATATCATTATCATCTACATTCTATTACATCTATCGATTTTCCAATTCACTATTTTCTTTCAAACTTTGTTCGCATAATTTTTCACAAGAAAAAAAAAAAACTGACCTAATAAATTCTTCCGTAAATTCAATAACGCCATCTTAAACAATTCCGCTACTGAACCCTATAAGATGTATTTTCTATTTTAAAAAATTTAAAAAACAGTCTAAAAAAAAGCATTTGTTGTCAGAGAAATGATAAAATTATCTGTATGAAGAAGTACACAAATATTTATTATCAATGATATGTATTAATTCTAACTGATTGCTTAAAAATATATATATATATATAAAAGAAAAAATGTCTTTTGCCCTATTACCCATCAATTATTGAACGCCTAAAAAAGTAATCTGATTAAATGAATAAAACTGACAAATATTTGAATATTATCAAGCATACCAAAAAGATTACTGCACTAATATCCTACATATATATATATATATATATATAAAAAAAAAAAAAAAAATGACTATACTAATATACCACAAATTATCATCACTTCATCTACTCTTGCCGTAAAGTCTCGTATTTCGGATTATTTAATCAAATAGAGAGAGACAAAAAAAAAAAAATTAAATAGTTCCGCAACTAAAAATAAGTATAAAAAATCATATATCTATATCTAACATCTACCTGTATACAAGTATTGATAGCTTGACGTTCAGCTTGAGCTAACTCTGTTTGCAGCACAGCAGAAGTTATTTGAGGTAAAAATCGTCGACGACCTAATAAAGTACTCACAAATCCATTAGTTCGGCACATAGCTAATATTTTATCCATCCATGTTCGTACTTCTGCAACGAAAAAAAAAATATCTGCGGGAAGCTTTATATTTTTATCATACTTTATTATTTATATAGTAAACATTATCTCAGCTATAATTCAAATGTGAAAGGAAAGAAATAAAGAGAAAATAAAGAAGTTAGAAAGTGGTAATTAAAAAAAATGGAAAACAAAATTAGTTGAAAGGAAATTTTTTTTTATTAAACTTTAATTTGGATAATATTTCCAAATTTAATTGTAACATTGCAAAAATAATGCAATTAAATATAGCTTTTTATTATCAAAAAGATAGAATTAATAAAATTAATAAACACCGTTTGTTTTGATTTGATGAAATAATTTTTTAAAGTTTACTTGGAAACAACTGAAAAAAAGATATGATCATTTGTTGAGCATGTTGTTTTGATATACCCAATTCTTTACTTAATGATATGGCACCCATGCCATAAATAATACCATAACAAAGCTGAAAAATAAAGCTAGAATAGTTTTATTTTTTAAAAGTTTAATTATCAATATTTTCTTTCGTTCTTTTTTTCCGTCTTTCTAGAATCTAATTTGTCAAAGTATTTTCGCTTCAAATATATTTAAACAAAGAATAAAATGTACAAATTTATTACAATAGAAGATTAATAACCTGTTTAACTTTGTTTCGATCTACTTTAATATGCAATGTTTCGTTTTTATTCCATTTGTTCGTAATAATTTCGAAAAAATCATCTTTGGTCAAGAAAAGAGATATGAGATTAGGATCAGCTGAGAGATGTGCCAACATTCGCATTTCTAACTGTCGATAATCAGATGATAATAGAATTCTACCTTTAAACATACTAAAATTAAATTGGTGATGAAATTGTAAAGAAAAATGGTAATTTTGTACTATTATCATTTTACAAGTAAAAATTTTAATTTTAAATAAAATAAAGAGTAAAATTAAAGATCAAAAGAAATAGTTTATTACTATTTTTAGCAGGAAAAATGAACCTAATAACTACTCATTAAGATTCACAATTTCTGTAATATGCTTACATTTCTAACAATAAGTATGCTTAACAGTGAATACTTTTATATATAATCAAATCAGCGTTTTTCATTTTTGATATATTTAAAAGTAATTTACAAACCTTTCGGAACAATGAAAAGTGATCGAATGGAAAAACCATCGATAATTGCATCTTTTTGCACATTTTGCACATTTGGATGTACTGTTAAAACACGACCAGTGCAACAATGTGTTATAAAATTAGCACGAATTCGTCCATCAGAACAACACAATTTTAAAAGTATTGGTAAAGATGTCTGAAAAATGTTTGCAGTACATTTTAAAATTTTTAAAAAGAGAAAAAAAAAAATTTTACCGCAAGAAAATACAAGATTAAATGTTTCACTTGCATTGATAGTATCAAGCTGTATGCTAAGATTACTGATATGAGGAAAATGATATCATAATCCATGATTTTAGAATGAAAAATTATTTACAGTTAAGGCGGTATTTATTCGTCTCCATTCCAAAATTAAACTTATGATAGGATATTTTGGTGCTAATTGTTGCAGAACAATTTTGTTTGTTGAATAATGTCGACCAGTTGATGCATTTGGTGGTGGAATTTGCAGACGTACAAAAAGTATCTAAATATCACAAAAGTATATTAAAAATTTTCTTGCATTCTTAAATATTCATTTATTGACATTACCTTTATTATCTCAGAGTTTAAGCTTAAATTTGATCAGAATTTAAAATTTTAATTAAACGAAAGCTTGTTTTTTTTTCTTTTTATGATAAATTAAAATTAACAATTTTCATTGATGTAGAAATTTTTTTTTTTTTTTGATACCTGAGAAATTTCCGCTGCTGAACCAAAATTAAATGGAATTCCACTAATACCATAAGCTTTTGCCTCAATTTCGGTCAATTTTTGTTGAAGCTAAAATTATTAATACAATTTAACAAAAATAACCTTGTTTCAAATCACGAAACATTTTCTCTTTTTTTTTTTAAATAGAAGAAAAAAAGATTAGAAGTTCAGAAATTTGAAAACTTAAAAATTTTAAATGTTAATAACGTATAAATACCTTAGAATTCAGAGTTAGAGCTTTATTCCTATCAAAAGCTATACCCGTAATTTCTATTTCACTGAACAGAACAACTGATTTTAATTCCAATTCTACAGATTTAATTGAAGATAATCGAACAGCAGCCGACATTAGATCATTATGCATATGCAAACATATAAATGCATTAATTGCTGCTCGTAATCGTGGTGTTGCATTTCTTAAAATTACAGCACGTTCTGGAGAAGTAAGTTGTGAAAGTAAATCCTGAAAGATAATAAAATATATATATATATATATATATATATATATATATATATATATATAGTTATAGAACAGAATCACAAATAATTTGATATCATGTATAAATAAATCATTTAAGATATATCAAAATTTTTTTTAATTTCTAAAAATTTTTCTATTCTAAATTTACGAAAAATGAAGTAATTATTATCAAAGTTATTATTAAAGAAATCACTAAAAAAGGTTGAACAAACACAAAAATTGATTTTTAAAAGAGACAAATAATTATTTTATTAAAATTTCACACAAAAAAAAAAAAAAAAAAAAAACCTGAAAAGAAAGAGCGGAATCATCTAGTGTACGATAATGGGCTAAATATGAAACTGTTTGTATGCAAGTACAGCGATTAAAAAGGATAGGTGAATCGACTAAATCTCGAAGATATCGTAATGAACGTGAAAATGATAGTAAATCATAAATGTACTTTTCTTGTTCAGATTTTAATATATTATCCAATACTTCTAATCGCTTATCAATTTCAATTTCAGAAACATATTCTGAAAAAAAAAAAAAAAAAAACATAATTATGACTAATAAGAGATATATCAGGTTCAATTATGACTGATAAGAAATAATTCAGTTTAATTTCAATTAAACTTCAACTTATGATAATATAGACTGAAATTAACCCACTTGGCCTGAAATCAATATAAACACATTCGTCATTTAATGGGCATAATGCTATTCCAATTATTTCTTTGTTGCATATTGCAATGCATAAACCAATTTGACTCCAATATTTTTGACGTATCAAAAATTGCTCCCATATTGTAGAAGATCTGAAAATTTATGTAGAGTAATTTTTGTTGCAAGCAGAATTCTGTCAATTTTTCCTTTTTTAAAATTTCACATTGAATTATTCTAGTTTAATTTAAAGAAGGCAAAGTTAAATTTTGTTTTCCAAATAAATTAAATGTACCCGCAAACATCTATAATTTGAAATTCAGTAGTTCCTGTTTGGTTGCTGTCGAAATTTTGTTTAATATCATTTTTAACACTTTCATTAAATTTAATTTCATTCTCCATAGTTATAGTAACAGGTGATGATCCATATTTTAAAATTTTATGCAGAGGACTTTGAAAACTTGGTGATGATTGCAAAGATTGACAATTAATTGTTGATTGTTGATCAATAGGTTTTATGCAATATGATGAATTCTTTGGTGTATTAAATGATTGCGAACTAATTGATGAATAAGATGTTCGATCAAATAAATCACTACTATGATCAAAAATTGATTGATTTCTAATACTTTCATCCGAATTGACAATAATTTCTTTTTCTTCTTCATTACTTTGAAGTGTTATCTGCTGTGACATAGCACGTTCATCGTTAAACTGAATTGTAGATGATTTCTTCATATTGAAATCATGAAAATATTTCACCTCATCTTTCTCTAAATTATCATTTTTCATCCCACTTGTAGCTGTTGTTGTTGTTGCAATCATTTGAGTTTCATTTTTAGTTGAATTAAAAATATTCAACGATTCAAATATTTTCAAATCAGTAAGCTCATCTTGTTGCTTCTCTGATTTAATTTCATCAAATTTTTCATTGTTAGCTAGAACAGCAATAGCATCTAATGCTTGCGTAACTTGTTGAATTTCACCGGAATACTGACTACAACCAAAACGTAACAATGTTTCATCCGACATTGAAGTATGAGCAAAATCCGCACATAATTGTTTAACATTTTCCACATCCAATCTATCCGGAATAACCAAATTCTCTTTGTTTGTTATTGAACAATTATGGAAAATAGCTTTTTCTACTTCATCAGAATTGCTGCTTTTCAGTAATTCCATTTTCGGTGGTCGTTTTTCAATCACTTTTGATGTTTGGATTAAACTTTGAGTGCTTACTGCAATTTGTTCTTCCGAATTTTTAGAAGTACTTGTGGTTGGTAAAATTTCATGCTGCAAAACGACAATATCGTCAAATTATTAGTGAAAAAAAAAAAAAAAATTTGAGAAACAATCTTAAGTCTACATCTCATAATTAATTAGGCATAAAACCAATTAAGACAATACTAGTTCATTTTATAAATGTGCTGAATTAATTGTTCATACAATTCAAACCTTGAGTTTTCTTTTTTTTTTTTTTTTTTGCTCCAAAAGTTCCATAAATTATAGCATTAGAGTACGATGAGCTAGATAATTCAAGACTATACAAGATTCAATTTTCAAATCAAAATTCAAATAAAAGATATTGAAAAAAAATTAATTATTAATGATATTTTTCCTGATTATTTTATTTTTGCTTACTTTAGTTATTCACAGACATTTATTTTTAATTTTCAGCAAAAGATTAAACTATTCAAACTTTAGATGTTTTAATTGAAAGAATATACTAACCGTGAAGAAATCACTTGAAATAAATTCAACATCTGAAGAAAGGACAGAATTAGGATTCATACTACTTTCATCACAATTATTGCTTATAGCATTCAATTTATCATGATTAGTTTCACAAATTGATGTCACCGTGGAAAACAAAGAATCAATTTTGTCATCTGAGAATATGCCAATAGCCCTGGAATAGAATTTTAAAATGGAATCATAAAGAGACTAAGAGTCGCAATAAATAACATTAATTTTTGTGATCTCAATAATATGGCACATATGTCTTTAAGAAAAGTTTCATTGATTTAATTGGAATAAAAAAAAAAAGCTTTTTTAAGGAAAGTTTATAAAAAATGACAATAATATAAAGTCTGGAGGAAGTAAACAAATCGACATACATATTATAAAATGTATCGGTTTATCAACATGGTGAAGTATTTAAGCATAAATATTTCGAGGCCGATCAATTTGGATTAAAGAATTCAACAGTTAGTTATATTTTTATGTATTTTATTACTTGCTCAAGGCATAGTTCTAGCCTATAGCTAAGATATTGAATATAAAAGCTAAAACTAAAAAAAAAAAAATCACATACACAAATAAATTCAACATTTGGCTATTAATTTTAACGAAGAATAGCTGTTTTATATTAAATTTTACTGCTTGCTGTTTATAAGACAAATTAATTCACTTATTAGCAAAAATAATGCCACAATATAATGTCTAAATGATAATTCCAGTTTGATATACTATCATTTGATACAGTTCTATCACTTAATAGTAGCATAATTAACTGATAATTGCAAATGATAAGCTAATATCGGTGATAAGAAAAATAAGTTGCCCGAAAAATTACTTCATTGACAGACAGATTAGATTGGGTGCACTCACTTTAACTGGTCGAAAACCAAATATCTTATTGATTCAGAAAAAAATGCTTCAAAATTATTTTCATAAGGAGATTCTCCATTTAACAATGACAGCAACAGCAATAAAACCATTAAAATAATACTTTAATAGTGATTAATTTAGTGAATGAATAATTAAATCTATATAACTTATTACAAAGTTAAATATTTCATTTATTAAAATAAAAAATAATCTGACGATTTGCATAGAATTACTTTCAAATTATCTACTTCACTTTTTAAATAACTGAATTAACTCCTCATAATTTTCTCAATCTATCAAAGTGAAATATTTTGGTAAAATTTGATAAAATATGCATTTATACAGTTGAATAAAACTTAAACCAATAGATGGTAGATGAACTCTAATAAATTCTAGAATTTCAAATCTTTATTTGAAGTTTTCTATTGAGTAACATATTGTAGAATTATTAAAAATTATTCGATATTTGAAGAAGTTCAGATATCCATCTCAGTGTAAGAAAAAAAAAAAAAAATTAATATGTTAACCTGAGAGAAGAGGAAAGATTTAAACGAGCACGTTGAATTAATATTTGAGCTGCTTCAACATCTGTCATTAAACCTTCTCCAGCAAGCCAACGATTCAATCCTTCATTGTTATCACGTCTATAATAAATTAAAAATTAACAATAACAAAAAAAAAAAAAAAAAATTATAACTACAGATTTCAAATAAATATTAAAATTAGAAAAATTCTCACGTTGCATTTCATTTAATTTTTACTTAATCAACAAAAAATTTTTATAACAAATGCATAATTTTATGATAGCTTATTCTAAACAAATCTAATACCATTAATATAATACTAAATATTTGTAATAATTCAATTAAATACTTTTTTTTTTTTTTTAAAAATTGAAATTCATCTATAAAATTTATATTTTATATATTTTGATATGATATTATTTTTATTACCATTTATAATCTTTTTCCATCCCCTTCTTTTTCTATTATTTTTCTCTAACAAATTTTATTAACATAAAACATCATTCTATTCATTTATCATTATAAATGACGTAATATTTTGCTACAATTATATGCTATCTTTTCCAAACAAAAAAAAAAAAAAAACAAAAAAAAAAGAAAAAACAAAAAAAAAAGAAGAAAAGAAAATTATTCTTTCCTAATTTCTACAATTTAATCTCAATCATTTATCTAAAATATGATGATGGCCTTGAAACGTATGGCGTTGTCGTTTGTCGTCTGTTTAGTCCATCTTTTCATTTAACTATTCTTTCCATTATGTCAAATTGACTTCACTTCTTTACTACCAAACTATTGTTACCCAATTGCTACTAATTAAATGGATGACAGCTAAAAAGCTTGTCAATTCGCTATGTTTACAGAAATTTTATTTGCATTTATCTTTTATATATAATTGTATATATCTGTATGATTATAAACATTAAAAGCTTAGTTTATTATAGCCTTTACGAGTGACAATTGCTGATTTGCATATATTTTCATTTATTCTTTTACATTTGTCATTTCTCTAATTATTCTCGGAGAATTCTCGAAGATTTAATCATCATACTTTTAGTGAAAGATAGAAAGAGAGAATGAAATATCAATCAGATGTGCAGTTATTCACAAATATCAGATTAAATTAAAAAAAAAAAAAAATACTTGCCTCAGATTACTTAATATAACAAGAAATTCAATATATGAATTCAAATATCATTCTTTTAAAATATTTAAGAAACATAAAGTTATGTACATAGGTTGTAAGCAAATATAATAATGGATGAACTAATTTCTTTTAACTTTAATTTAATTTTAATTCATTTACTAATTTAATATATAAAAGTAAAACAGAGTAATTAAAACGACTTTTTTGAACAGTACTGATTTAATTTACATTGAATCACGTTGAGCAATATTTATCTATCAGAGTTTTTACAAAACTCTATCATTTTGGCTAAAAATCTAAAAAAATTATGATAATATTGATTATCATAACTATTTGAACTATTTATTATCATAATTGTCATCCCACAAAGCTTTACCTAATACAAATGTCTTAGCTTTTTTTGTTTGTCATTTTTTTCACCTTCAATTTATTATAATTACTGCATCCATCACTCTTTCTACAAATCACTTACAATATTTTACAGATATTAGCAGTTCATTAAAGCAATGTGTCTTTTTAAAATTTACCGGATAGTTCAATAAAAGCATAATTTATATATACCTATAAGTCAAATATACTTACCTGATATAAGGAACAACAGATCGTAAAATTTTTGCAATATCATCAATTGAAGTGATAGCTAATGTAGGAATTGTTGTAATATTAGCATTGTGAAAAGCTCGAGCTCTTATACCATCGATACCTTCAATTTGAACCAATTCTGTTAAATCTTTACGAACACCAAATGTTAATCGTTCGGAAAAACCATCCAATACACTTCGTAAATATGTCCAACCAAGTTTTTCACAAAACGATACAACCATATCTGTAAAAGGTATGATTTCAAAAGTGAAAGTGAAATCTTGAGCAATAAACTGATAGTATTAAATTATTATTAGAAGTCAAATTTGACAAATAGAAAATTTGAAGAATTTAATTGTAAGATATAAAAAGTTGAAAAAATTTGCCGAAAATTAATTTTTCAACAAATTTTTTATGATCATAAATTTGCTACATTTTGCTATATCTTATATATGATTGAAAAGTGAAAGAAAAAGAATGAAAATAAGAAGGAATAAGAGATGAAAATAAGAGAAAAAGATATACATATTATTTTAGAAATACTTTATTTAGTAATACGATATAATTTCTTCTCATAATTCAAGCATGTTTCAAAGAAAAGAAGCACAAAATTTAAATCAGTAGTATTCGAAATTTGAAATTAACACTTATTGAGACAATTTCTTCTTGCTATTATTAAAAGTATATTATTATTATTAGAGCTATTTTTTGGAATATTATACTATCAGCACCTATCTTATTAGTAAATGATTAGCACTCAAAGTTCAGATAAGATTACATTGCCACCTTTTTTTTTTTTTTTTGTAAAAACACTGATAATTTTTTTGATTAGAATTTCAAAAAAAACAACGATGCAATAACATTATTTATTTGAAAATGTTAATTGTAAATTTTAAATACGAATAAAAACAATTTTACTACAAATTAAACTACACTATCCTAGACAAACAAAAATAAAAACACAGCAATTGTAATTAATTACTAACACATCATAATAATTAAAGCTATATCAACATTATATATTATAACACTAAACACTGATAAATCATTGTTCCCACTCTTAATTTCATGTTCTTTAGTGATATTATCATTCCTAATCATTAATAATTATGAATGCTAATAATGATTAAATATTAATTTTATGCTTCTTTAATTACAAAACTTGTGGTATGTTTTGGTTGTACGATTACTACATTTTGAATTATAATTTTAATTTTCCCACAATCAAAAGTAATTTTGTCTTCTTCCTATTTGAAATTCATGTAAAATCGTCAGAAACACAAAATTCCCTAATTTGGCCAATTTCTCCCTCCTTTTACCATACTAATACAAGTTAGGAGATAGAGAGATAGATAGATAGAGAGAGAGAGAGAGAGAGAGAGAGAGAAATGAAGGATAATAATTAGTATGGAAAGTTGCGCTTTAACTACATCAAATTGGGGCCGAATTACGGTAGTTAGAAGTTGAAGGGATTAAAAATTTGTGACAAAATTTATGATAGATATGATGAAAAGAAGAGAAAAAGAATGAGAAAGTTAGGCAACAGTTATTGACGATAACAAAGGCAATTAGCAAAGATTTCTGTTCATTTGGGTAACGTTTTAATGAGGGCACTTGAACGCTTCATTTTCCTTACTTAAGTGCCTTGTTTGTGTCAAAATTAAGGATTAACAAAGAAAAGCCGCAAAAACTAATTTCTATTCTTCATATTTGTTAAATGATCTAATTAAGAGATGAGAAAGAATAATCTAATCTGATCTGATCCAATCAGATTTACTAATTTCACTTAACAAAACTGGATTATCTCCCATTCTCATCTAGTTTTCTATTAATATTACTATTATTACTGTGATCAATAATGCATATTGGTAGTTAATGAGAAATTTATATGTAACAATTTTACATATAATACTTATAAATTTTAAATTGACTGAAAAATATATTGAAAATTCAAAAAAGAAAATAATGAAAAGAAATTTCAGTTTAAATCACATAAAAATTTACAGGCATATGTTGCGGATTGTTGTTGTAACGTTTGCAATGCTCCACGATTAATACGAAAACGTCGAGCAACATCACCAAGTGAATATTCTCTTATCAGATCGTAAAGTGCCAATGCGGAAAGAAAACGTAAATGCACCTGAAATATTTATAAAAAGAAAAAATAAATAAATTTACAAACAAAAGCATATAATAGTTAAAAGTTGATTGATAGCAGATGACATAAGTTATTAGAATAAAAAATTAAGAATAAATCATTGTATTGCAAAAAAAAAAGTGATTAGCTAAAATACTACTTATAATATGATATGTAATTTTTTCAAGTGATTTATTTGTCAAGAAACGATTGCAATTTAAATTTTTATCCTTTATATTTTAAATCGACAGAAATATTATTATCGTATCATCGTGTAAATACTATCAAATATAACTGAAATTGTTATGCAAAATAAGATTATTTAAGTTTGGAATAGAAAAAGTAATTTTGAATGAATACCTGCATATTGCTTATTTTGGATGCTTGTCTACCTTGTATCTTTCCAAGAATGAAACTATCAAGAATACCAATCATTTTGCCCACTCTTTGTAATTTGGTAGGTAATTTAGACCAAATATTATAGTAAACATTCCAATCGATATAATTCATCCAAATGGAATCACTATGAAGTGGTGTTACCTTAAATTATGGAACTGTAATTTGATAATGATGTTGATACAGACATGATTAATTTTACTTATTCATCTAGTCATATTAGTTTATTAGCTATTAGTATGAAATTTTATGTATAGCAAAAATTCAACAACTCAATTTTTTTCTCTTTAATCATTTATAATGCTTTTCAGTTAAATTAATTCTCATTTTTCAAGAAACTTATTTCAGTATTTCACACTTCACTATTCATCAATTCAGAGCTATTGAAATTATTGATAGTTTTTGGAAAAAAATGGGAAAGACTTTAAAAAATACCAAATAAAGTAAATGAAGCTCATTATCCAAAGCAAGGGAACGTGTCGCCTTTTCAAGATCATCATAAACTTGTAATGCAATATCAGGTGACAGCGATGATGTAAACACGGCTTGGCCTAATTGAGTCCCGCAGAGTCCTTCAATTGTATCATTTTAACTTGTAAATAGAATGAAATAAACAAAAAATTATTGCGAATTAAAAAGCATGAGAAAAAATGCCTTAGAAAAAAAAAATGCCTGGTAATATCTTTTCATTAATGTTATTCAAATCTTTATTATGCTCAATGATACAAATTATTAATTGAAAAAAATAAAATAATTTTATTTAATAATTTGAAAATAACAAAACTAATACCGTGATTTTTTTGTTGACAAATTAATTTTCTTGTAATAAGAAAATTGAGCTCATCCTTTATCGTTAATTTTCTTTCGAAAAACAATAATGATAGTAAATTTTCTAGATCATTTTCATCTCTACAAAGACCACTGCATATCGCCTATAATCATAATTGATTATTTAATTGACAGAAACAATTATCAGTTATTATAAATTATTACTTACTGATTAACATTTATAAGTTATCATAGTAATGAAATTAATGATTACGAATCACTGAATAATTAAAGAAAAATAAAATTAGAAAAAAAAAAATTGAAAAATTGCAAAATTCAAATAAACTCAATAATTAACCTAATTCAATTTGTCGAACTTCCGAAATACGAGTGAAAATGATGAAAAAATTACAAAAAAAGAAAAAAGAAAGATTGCACAGCTCAAATAACCTCAATAATTAGCTTAATTCGTCGTCGTTGAACTTCACATCTACGAGCAAAAATTGCTTTTTGTTGAATAATTCGTTGCACTAAATCTAGCTGATTCTTGCTACATACTACAATACTTTCACCTGAAATTGCAACATTTCATATCGATGTATTCAACTTATCATTCTTTCTAAATTATTCAGTAACATTCTGTTTTTTTTTTTTTTGCAAAAGTATTCTGATAAATTTTGATAAATGTGTTTTGATAAAAATGTTTACTGGAAAAAAACAATAGCAATTTCAGCCAATAATTTTCAATACTTCATATGTTTCTGTTCTCTAAGTCTAAAACTATTTACTTAGATATTCGTAATAAAATGGTAATTAAAACTTTCAAAAAAAAACAAAACAAACAAAATGTTGAAGTTACAAAAGCTATAAGGTAAAAATCTAAACATGTGAAATAATTTGAATCAAAAAAAAAAAAATTAATATCGATGAATCATGGAGATTTATTGTCTTTTAATGAATACTAAATTTGCCTACTAAATTCAACTAATAGCTTTAATTAAACGTTAACAGTAGCAATAGCAATGAAAATAAATGTAAAAGAGCCAATTCAATTAATGCATTTTGAACTTCTTCAACACTTATGGGCTTTATAAAACATTTTGTACTCATAGATTTGTCTAATTTATGCCTTTGTTTCTTCCGCATTCAACTGATTCCAATCATATATACACTTGCTTCTTCTTAATATTCTTTAGTAATAAAGCTATTGCTATTACTATTGTTGAAGTTATTGTCATTACTGTTATTATGTTCCTATTATATGATAGATATTGGTTGTTATTATATGATAGATATTGGTTGAAATTATTGTTGTTATTATTATTATATTATTACTCGTTTATTATAATCTATCATTATTATATAAATTCTTATTGCTATATGCTAGCATATTTGCTTACCTCTAATTGTATTAATGATGATGATGATGATAACAATACTCTCTTATGCTACACAATCAATTTAATTTTCATACTTGCTCAAATTATTAAGGCATTTTTGCGTAGCATAATGTACTCTTTATATGTTTCAAATTTAGATTTCCTCTCTCATCTCTCTCTCTCTCTCTGTCTCTTTTTCTCTTCATTTCCTTTAACTCATCCTTTTTCTTTTATTACCTTATCTGCTAAATAATACACGGTATATATAACATAACTATACTTACATCCTTATGTAAATGAACAAAAGAGGTGTACCCAATTTGATTGGCTATAAAAGAGCATTGAAATGATTCGGGTTGGTTGCTTCCGCTCCGCCCTTTCAAATACCGTTTTAACCATACGGTAATTAAAGGATAATAAAAGAAACGATGACACTTTACCACCATTAGACATCTTAGTTCCTATTTATTCCTTAAGAAGTGTAAAGTTTGCTTGCTTATTTATTTGTCCATTTATAACCTAAGTGTATATTATTAGTATTCAAGCAAAAACGAAAAAGATACGAGGAAGGAAGAATATGCAAACAATATCGGTTGCGATGTTTGGTGGTGGTGGTGGTGGTGGTAGCAATGGTGGTAATGGTGGTTGTTGTAGTATTGGTGGAAATTCAACAACCGGCTTAGGTAGTATGACACATCAGTTAGCCACAAACGGAACTGATAATACAGTTACTAGTACTGCTGCTGCAGCTCAACGGATGGGAATGTCGTTTGGAATTCATAGTTTATTGGGATTAGCAGCAGCTCGTGATATGCAGCAAGGTACCGCTGCAACCTATTTTACCACTACACCACAATACTGCACCAATCAACCGGCACCATTTTTTTCTCATAATGCACCACAATTATTTACTATGGAAATGTCACAAACTCCATTTGATCGAGTCCAATATGAACCAGTTAATCAGGGTAATCAATTTTCTTTATTATCCTCATTTATCTTAATGAATTCTTGTCCACTATTCGATATATTGACTTCTTGTAATTGCTTATTTACTTATCTATTTATTTGCTTCAATCATTTATTTGATTCCTCTTTACTTGATTTTATGTCCAAGAAGTTTCAATCATTATATCATTAAATAATAGTGTTTAAGAAAAGGAGTTAAAATCAACTATAATTAGTAATTTTAGTTTTAATTATTTAAAAAAAAAAAAAAACAGCAAAGTAATAGTAGCAGTAATAGATGATGCAGGTAAAACAGTAAAGTATACTGTTAACTTTTTTTGTTAATTATTTACTTATTACTGTTACTGATAAGACAGGGATGTCCGGAATAGATTATGCCAGTATCCGGTCCAATTCAATGTTTGGAGCATCAACCGCTATAACAAGTATTCCCTCATCAAGCAATGAAAAATCTATTTCAAAAAGAAAAAAACGCCGTCATCGGACAATTTTCACGCAATTTCAAGTAGATGAATTGGAGAAAGCCTTCCAAGTATGGTTAAAATTATTTTCATCACTATTCATTCAATGAAAATTTGAAATTTTACTCGAAATCTCTTGTTGTCAAATTTTAATACTAATTTTTCAATCTTAGTCTTTCTTATGGCCCTAACACATGTCCACACTTCTAAAGTGTTTTGTTTTGTTGTTTATTTTTAATTTATTCAGTTGATATAATAATAATTCATTATTTAATAAAATTTAAGAGTATACAATAAATTCATCAATAATTTCTACTTTAGAATAGCTGACCAAGAAAACCGAAGGAAAAAAGATCGAAATAAATGTTTTTCATGCCTAAACTTACTTTTAGCAAGATCAAAACAATGATCTTTTCACCATTATTATCATTATTATTATCTTTACTATTATTATTATTATTATCATCGCTGCTATTGGTTATTGTTATTATCATTACTATTATTATATTAGCATTATTAATGTTATTGGATCCTAATTTGTCATTTTTTAAATGATTTATCTTGCACAACAAAGTTCAAAAAGTGAAAGTAATGCATTCCAAATTTCGCGTCAAGAAGATAAGCGAAAAGTTCAAGAAAAAATTTTCGTATTCATTTTATAATAAATTACTGCATTTGATCAATTCTTTCCTTAATCTGTTTTGGTCTTCAACTTAAACAATTCAAAAGCTCATTTCCATAAAATTAAATTAAACTATTGTTTCTTCGCTACATATTATACATACTATATGTTTATTTTCTAAATTTAAAATATTCGTCGATATTATTTCATGCTTCACTTTCTTTCTTCCGTCCTTCTTAGAAAGAAAAAGCCATGGTTTTGATGTTCAAAAACTACACTACCATATTATTAATTCTAAATCACGCTTTTCACATCTGTAAAATTAAGAAATTTACCAGCAATTTTTTTCCTTTTTTCTTTTAGGAAGCTCATTATCCTGATATGTATGCTCGTGAACTATTAGCTATGAAAACTGAAATTGCTGTAGATCGGATACAGGTAATTTATTCAAAAAAAAAAAAAATTAAAAATATGACACAATGTTAGCTAATCAATTTGTATTATCATCTATCATTGTACATTTTTGATACATTTTGCGTTTCGTTTAAATTTTTCATAAAATTTAGATGAAAATTTTTTTTCATTATCATTTAAAAAAAGAAAAGATTGAAAAATGTTTTTTTTTTTTTTTTCTTGCAATTCTTCTCAATTAGGTTTGGTTTCAAAATCGTCGAGCTAAATGGCGGAAAACTGAAAAAACATGGGGTAAAAGTACAATAATGGCAGAATATGGTTTATACGGTGCAATGGTTCGACATTCATTACCACTACCAGAAACAATTACACGATCATCGGAAAATCCAAATGAATCTACTGCTCCATGGCTTTTAGGTTTGTCTGATTATTTTGTTAAATTTAGGAAGAAAAAAGTGAAAAAAGATAATATATATTTTTAAAAAAAAATGAAAGAAAGTAAAAAAAAAAAGAAAATTCAGAAATTTAGATATTTCATTTTATTTTGAAAAATATCATGATATATCTGTTTATCATGGAACTAAAAATAAAATATAAACAAGTTTTATTTTTCTTTTTTTAATTAATATCATGATTATCTATCTTATTCTATAACTGTTACATCATAATTAATGCATTACATATTGACTGTAATTAGATAAAAACAAACTGACGCAATTGCTGCCATATGGTTTTTCTATACCATATACTACTCTCATATCTTATAAAATTTTGTCTTTTTTTTTTTCTTTTACTCACAAATTCAACTTTCTTCCAAAATTGAATTACAAAGATAATTTATTTATTTCTTCTTTCTCAGAACTATTGTAAAACTTTGATTAGATTTGACTGATTAACATTAGATAAAATTAAGGTATATCAATTTAATAATATTAATAAAATTGCCATAGATACTTGGTAATTTTCATTTTTTTTCAAAAATTTTTAAAAATTAAAATTGATGAAATGCAAAAGATTATTTTGACTATACCGTAATTATGTTTAACTAAATAAAATTATTTCATCTAATCATATGCTAATTGATAATTTAATTAAATCTTGGATAATCATTTAAAGAAGCATTTCTTGTATTGTTAGGAATGCATAAGAAAAGCCTTGAAGCAGCAGCACATTTGGAAAATGGTGAAATTGATAAGGAATCAAATGAGGATGACAAATCGGTGGAAGCATGCTCACCTGGTATTTCAAATAATAATGATAATAACAATAATAATCATAGTACTAATAACACTAAACTATCTGCTTATCATCAATATGATAGTTTACAATATGTAAACAATAATACCAATGCTACTAGGCAATAAAATTAGCTTAGTGTAGGAAAAAAGATAGAAGTAATTTCAGAATTTCATATTATTAACATAAACATTCTATAATTTTTTTATGTGATATGTTATATATTATAAGTTATAAATGATAATATTATAGTTATTGCATCATAATCATATAATTTCAACATAAATCAATCAATTTCATTATAAGTATTAGCAGCAAATTTATTCATTCACTTATTAATTATTTTGAAAAAAGAAAAACGAATAGCTCGGTGATATCTAAATTTTACAAATTTTATTCCATTAAAGCTAAGAAATATTTTTGATTTTAAGTTAATCTGTTTAAAATCTTTGAGGACATCATAAATGTAGTAATATTTTCTTATGATATTAAATGATTGTTGTATAATTTTGATAATTAAATGTGTTCTCGATGAGATTTGCATTTCACATTTCAATAATAAATTTCACTCGCACTTCAATTATTTCCTCCCATTTAAAAAATTACGAGTTGCTGACTAAAGTTTTAGTTTTGTAAATTTCACAGTTGCACTTAGAACAAATGTCATATTGTCAGAGGAAAAGAAGATGTTATAACAATGATTTCTACAATCTATCCTAAAATAAAAGAAAAAAATCTTGAATTTTAAGTACTTTTCACAAAATTTCTAAACCTAATCAGTTTTACTTAATTACAACTTGAAATACTGAGACTTGCATAACTACAAATCATCAAAATTATTAAAGGGAAAAGAATGAAACGATACAGAACATTAAAATACTGTAACATTTCTGCATAAAATTTGGTTAAGAAAATTAACAAATTGTAAACTTATAAAAAATTACCATGTTAGCAAAATATCACACTAACTATTCCAATTATCACAATTTCAATGCTAGCAATTAAATTCTGTCCAATTAAGTAAGCATCTTGAGAAGATAAATTCTATGACACTGAATGAAAACTTCATCGCTAACATTTTTTTTGAGTATGAATTTCAAAAAAAAAAAAAAAAAGTTTGATTAATTTTTCAAATAACATTCTTAGAAACAATTCCCTCACAAAAACTTTAGTCTATCTCAAATCTAGTCCTATATCACCTTAAATCTTCGTTTTGTTTTTTCTCTACCTGATAAAATTACAATAGGTTACAAATTTTGGTATAATTTCTAATTATTGAGATAGACAGAGCTAAGATTCTAATTTCGATAAATTTTTCAGTAATTTAATTGGTTGAAAAGGAATGAATTGTTGCTTTCGCATTCATTCACCTTATATAGGGAGAAAAGAGAGACTGAAAGAGGAAGTAAAGAAAATTAAATGTGCCAAATCCACTTTGAATGATAAATTAATCTCCAGCATATGTCCTCCTTCTTTCAAGCAATCGAAATGACATGCTAACAATTTCGAGTAAATGGATAGATATCATGTTACCATAATTGCTTCAACAGCAACAATCACTTGTAGCTACTGTGTGGTCTCATTTTTTTTCTCACACCCTTCTCTAATTTGAATGACCTTTAGCCTTTACAATATATGAACAATATTACTTCTCAATTACTGAGATATATGATACGGTCAACTTTTGTATTTAAGGTCAAAAAGTATTCTAGCTTTACGAAGGATACAAATTACGTTTTTTTTTTTTTTTTTTTTTACTACTACAAAATAGAAATTCAAATGTCATTTCAAAGCGAGCAAAGGTCATTAGTGAGAGTAAAATTAACAGACAACATTTTCTATTCTCATATTCGCTTCCTCTTCCATTTATTGTTTTCCAATTTGAATTATGTAAGCTATTAGATTAAGTGAATTGTAAGAAAAATACACCGTCGTATACCCTTAATATCGCCTCACGTTATTTTGAGTAAATCATAAATTTAAAATTTCATATTTTTTAGTCTGATATATAGGATAATAAAAATAATTTAAAAACAATAATTATAAAAAGACACATAATTATTTTTCAAATTTTAATTCAATATTAACTTACGAAACGATATTTCCTTATAAATTGTAACTTTCAGCAAAAAATGCATTTATTCCAAGAATTTAGGAAAAACGATTATTTTAATTATCAATTGTCTCAACTTCTGGATATGGCAAACTTCTCAATACTTGAAATAATTTTTGAATATGCTAAAATAAATTTAAGATTGTTTAGGATGTTTAAAGAATTCAATTCAGTGAAATGATTTCAAATGATCATCAACATCAATCTCAACCATATTAATTCATGCATTTGCTAATGAATTATTTAGATTGTAAGAAAACATGAATGGAAGGGATAAGAATTTTTCACGATTAACATCAATTAAAAGTAACCTTAGGCAAGTAGTAAATAAAAAATTGTTTATATACGAACGGTGCTGAATGATGAACAAATAATTAAAATGTGAATTATGAAGAAAACTATTAACTGCACCTTAGCTTAGTCATACATTCAAATCAATTCATTCGAACCATATTCTAAAGTGTCAAAATAAATTAACAATCTCGTCCTTTCCCATTTAATGTATGAATAATAGTAATATTTAGAAAGTCATCAAAAAATATGCAAATGAATTACATAGTGAATTTATTAAATTTCAATGCAGAATTTTTTGAGAAACAAGTTTTCATTTATTGATTTATACCTTTTTTTCTTCTCAAGTAGTTTTATTAGTTAACAGAAAAAAAAATACTGATAATATGATAGTATGATTAGTTAGATCAAATAACTGTTATAAATTTATAAAAAGTCATTTTGATAAATTTAACAGAAGTTTTGCTTATGCTTGGATAAACTTAATTTGTTTTTTAGTTTTTTTTCATTTTTTCTTTCTTTAATACTTCTGATAGTTTTCCCGAATTTAAAAATTATAAAAATTTTAGCTAGATTGATATAATTCGTATTTACAATTGATATAATTCGTTCATTTATCACTATAATCAGGATCAATACTCATATGAATTACTAATGAAAATTTTATCAATGAATCTTTTATATGAATAGTACAGTATTTTTTTTTTTCTACAGATTTCAAAATTTCAAAAAAATAACTTCACCTATGGTATAAATCATGTTTGCCACAATTAGCTAAATTATTACCTTTTTCGGTTTGTCCCAAACGTCCAGCTCGACCAATCATTTGCATATATGTCAAACCATTAAGAGCTACGGGTCCGCACAATTGTGTTTTGATAATTACTCGATGAGCTGGCAAATTTATTCCGGAACTGAGAGTTGAAGTGGCGCATACTATACGTAATGACTGATCACAGAAAGCATTCTCAATACTTTCACGTTCTTCTACGGTTAAACCTAAAATATTTCACTATTTTTTTCTTTTATTTTTTTCACTTCACTTTACGTGTCAATCATTTATCCTTTCAAATTGCTAGAATATTAGCTATAAAAGTGATATCTTGAAGTCTTGTTGCCAGTAAATTTACTGTTTACTTTAATCTTTTACTTACTATTTCTTATGATTGTGTTGTTAGATTCTATGTGGAAAATTATTGCCAATTTCATCAATCAAAAGAGATTATCATTCATTTCTCAATTGGCATAAATTGCTCTTTTGAAAATTTTAACATATTTCGGATTTCAATAGCTAGAGAAAAGAATGTGTACTAATTTGCTTCCTATCCACGAATATATTTTTGAAAAGGATAGATAATTTTATTTTGAATGATAAATGGAGGATATCGGCAATATAAGTAGAAATGGTGAGAGATAGGCATTTTAGGAAGAAGGTCATCAAAGAGAAATAGATGAGAAGATTAGGTAAAGAAAATCATATTGGAATAAAAGGAATGAATGTTGATAACTTGAGAAATGATTCAGGAACATAAATGAGGCAATTGGAATAAAATTAGGTAAACAAGTAAATAAGTAAATAAGTGTTACGTAAATAAATGAATTCATAAATAACAAAGCGTCAATGCGCTAATAATAATGACAATGCGCTCTCATCTTTATTCAATGAATGGTACTTAATCAATGCTCTCAAAAAGCAAACCGTTTCCTCAATTGTTATAAGATGACATTATCAATAATTGGTATACCGGACACATACATTTATATAATAAGCACAGAGATAAGTGTGTATATATGTGTGAGAATGTACTGTTAAAATTATAAACTATTCTCTTCCATTTATTTATTTTTTTATTAAAGATGAAATAATTTTTCGAGTAAATTTGGAACAATTTAAAATTTTATAAATATTCCCAAAATCTAAATATAGCATTTCTATTTCGAGGTGTAAAAAATAACTAAGAGTTATACCAATTATCGGCAATGTTATCAGAGTGCAATAAACAATAGTAAACAACTGAAAAAAGAACTAAAAATAAAAATGAAGTTAGGGAGGAAAATTTTTGAAGAAAAAAGACTGTGCCCTTTTAATGTTCAAATTAATAGATTTAAAAGAGTTGATTATTAGCAATGACTAAATTTGCAAACTTCGAAAATTATGAACTTTAATAAATTATTCACTGGACTTAACTTTAATAAATTATTATAAGGTACTTCCACATTTCGATATTGATTCAAAATTCTGAATATGATCAAGAGAGGAAGAAGAGATGTAAGTAAATTGCATTCTCATTTAACAATGAAGATTGAAAAAAAAGTGTGCTAAAAGTAGAAAAATTTTTTCTAACAAAACTAACCAGCATGATGAAATGCAATTCCATGTGGTAGTGTTTCTCGTAAAATATCATCTACAAATTGTATTTCATGATGAAATGCGTGTTTAACTGTTTTCAATGATTGTATATTAAAAGGTGAAATAAGATTTTCACTATTGCTCGATTTAAAATATTTTTCAAAATGCTGCGATATAGCTAGGGCAAGCTTTTCTGTTTCTGCTTTTGAGCTACAAAATACCAATACCGATTCGCCTTTCATAACAGATTCCGTACATAAGCTGAAATAATATCGCGTTTATTTCTTATTTTTTTTTTTTTTTTCATTACCAAATAATTCCAAGAACATTCGTGAGCTTTTCGGAAGCAAGAAGTACTCGTCACTTCTAGAATTACATATAGCTACAATTTAATTTCTCACATCTCATAACAAAGATTATGAGAATCTAAAATGTTCGATGGTGCCATTAGGTTTAAAAGTCATTAATAACAAAATCCTGTTTAATTTGTTTTATTCATTGAAAGTATAGTGTGATATTCAGAACTAAATATGAAAATCAAATCAGACTGTAACAGATTTTAGAAAATTTATTACATTTTAGTCCAAACTGAGAGGTTTACTTCTGTTGTAAAACAAAATTTTTGAAATGTTTTGAAATTTGAAAAAAAATTCATCAAAAATCATACTGAATAATTCCATATTCGATATCGTTTGAAACAACAAATTCATTTGATACCGTTCGAATATGCTGCAATGTATTTACATCTCGTAGCTCATTATCACACATTATCATTTCATGCAACTGTACTGGACGAAATTGCGTTTCATACTTTTCTGCATTTAGCCAATCAGCCAGTTCATCCAAATTTGGTAATGTAGCGCTTAAGCTGATAATTTGAATTTGATGACTATAAAAATTAACATTTAAATTCATAGCTTAAGGAACAAATGAAGATTTGGTCTACAAAAGAAAAAAAGAAATTAATTTTTAGAAAGTGTGATCCTCAAAAAAGTGTTTTTGGGAATTCAAAAAGTTAATTTAGAAAAATGTCGTAGAAATTGTGCTAATAAGTCCGTCTAATAAGTTATTATAAAGAAAAATTCTCGGTAATGTATACATTTAAGCATTCTTACTTTAAATACCGAGAAATGTACAATGCTTTCCCAATAATTTGCTCCACCAATGGTCCACGATTTCCATCAAATAATATATGAAATTCATCGATTACCAATACACCTAACAAAAGATAAATGATAATTTTTCAATAATAGTAGAATAGATTGTTTGCGTGCTATCGAGTCATGATTTTCTAATTAAGTATAAAAATGCATACGTTTCAACGTATTTTTTGCTAATAAATCACGCATATATATATAAAGACGCATTTTGTATTTCAATACTAGAATACACAAACGCATTGATAAACATCTTTATGCAATAAATATACATACTGAATGTAATATATTTCGTCAATAAAATATATGTATGAAATGATTTCATCGATGTACAATTATTTGATTTTGAAGGAAAAAAAAAGCAATAAATTTAACCTATATCAAATATACTTTTGTCAGCAATCATACGATTTAAAAGTGAATTAGCTTTTTCGATTGTACAAACTGATGCATCCCAAGCTTGAAATGGTGATGAATGTGAGCCGATGAATGCGCTGACACGAAGATCAACTTTTCGCCATATTTTCTAAAAATTATTGGAAATTTTGCAACTTTTCAAAAATTCTAAATTCTCAAAAAGCATTAAAAACTCAGCTGATATGAAAATATTAGCTGAATTTAATACTATTGTAAATAGAGAGATTAGCTAGAAATGGAAAAATGCTTTTAAAAAAAATCGTTTTATTGAAATAATCTTTACAGGTTAAAGATTCACAGTTTAAAATTAAAATTAGACCTGCAAACAAAGAAATTTTTCCTTGGCGACAGATATATATGGAAAGACGAAAATTGCCTTGCAACGTAATTGTCGGACAGTATTTAGGGCAATTAGTTCGGCAACAACCGTTTTGCCGGAACTTGTTGGAGCGGAAAATATTAAATTTCCATATTGTGGAGCATGCAATGATCGATTATTTAAAACATCCAGTTGCCAGGAAAGCAAAGCCTGAATACCATGCTCAATATATCCGACAGCAATTTCATTCGGTACCCATGACGGATAATCTGGCATTCGATTATTTATTAACCCTAAAAACAAAAACAAAAAAAAATAAAACTCATGTTATAGTATAATTCGATTTTACTAAAACATACTTTTGGAAAATATATGAAGCAATAATGTTAAGTAAAAAACCATATGTAGAGCTGAATACAACTAACAGATCATGTATGACACATTGTCAACAACGTTTAATTATATGACGGACGAAAGATTTAACAAAAGATTACAGTTACAACATTCTTTTAACACATATCATGTTAATTTGCAACATTAGAAAATTTCTGATATCATTACTGCAACTGATAAAACTTACTACATATTTAATTAAGCTATTATTTTATACATATAAAAAAAAAAAAGAAAAGTCCTACATGTCGCTGAAAATTCTACGAAGATTCATGTAAGACAACTAAACATATGGCACATGAAAAAAAGATATTTGTGAACCCAAGTAACAGATTAGAAAATTGCATACAGAAATTGATCGAAAGTTCCCTGAATTTAGCTTAAAGAAATTTAGAATTTACCTAAACGATTCTTATTGTTTATGATCTATATTCTCAAGTAATTGCCATTCATGCTTAAACAAGTTTTAAAATGTCAATTAATTATTATTGTTATTATTATTGGTAGCCAATATGAGATAAAGCAAAGGAGAAAACGATGTTGAACATAACAATCGATGCAAAGTTCAATATTTTATTACAAACAAAAAACGTACACATTCTTGGTAATACATCGGTTTGTTTGTCAACAGAAACTTCTAGTAACCATTTTGAATTGACTAATATGACATTAATGAATTTATATTTCAATATATAAGAACTGGTAACATGTATCTAGCATAAAATATTAATTCTTTACAATTTCATTTCAAAGTGAAGAAAAAGGTTATTATATAAAGCTCTCAATACGAAAAGGAAGGTTGAGAAAAAGTTATCAACCTTTTAAAGAACAAAATATGTGAAAATATTACTAGATTTAAACATTTAACTTGTTCGAAAAAGGTGCCGAAAAACCGCAAAGTGTCATACGGAAAAGTCTTACTAGACTTAGAAACTTAGCTTGTCACAGTGTGTCACCAAATCAACATAAGAACCTGTTTTAAATTAGTAAAAATGTTCGTATGCTCTTCATATATACAGAGAATTAGATAAATTTGTCGTAAAGAAAAAACACCATTTTAGAAAAAGAAACAAATTAATCATAAATATTTTCATGCAAATGATTTTGGTCACCGATTATTGAATTAGTTATGAGAGAATTCACAAAAAAATGATTTGGCATTTTAATACAAATAATGGGTACGTGTTTCTCTTTGTTTCATTCATAGGAATAACTTGACATACAATAACTCATGAACCAAATTAATATACAATAGTCATGAATTCAAAACTACAATTCATTAAAAAGATCACGCGTTATAACTGATCGGTGATCTAATCCTGGGCATTGTTCAACCGTATACGTTGCGTTCGGATTGAAATCAGATTCCTAAGAGACAGTTTATTATTTCTATGAGATAAGCAAATTTGAAAACTAATATCTGATTTCAAGATCTAGTCAAAGAAACTTATATGAAAATATGAGAAAATCCAAAAGTAACCGTGCTGCAGCTTGGAATAGGCTCGTTTTTCGGTTCCTGATCCATATCAATCTTTTTCAGAGGAGCCTCATTTAAAACGAAGGTATCACGACGTCCAGGTACATTAGCTAAACTGAAATTTTTGATAATTGTTAACAAAAATCACTAACTGTTAACATCTAATTAATATCTGGCTGTATAACGCTTTTTCAGAATTATGAGAACTAATGTTTATGCAATAAGACAGTTATGCTAATAGATACACTCAAATTATAAGGAGTTCAGCAATTATGAGCTTGACAACACCAATTCTTACCAGATCACGAAATAATGTACTGTCGATGATTAATAACCCTCATAAAGATATGAATCAAGTTTTAAAACTATTTCAATACACTACAAACAAATTAATTTTTCATTTAAATTCAAATTTTTGTTTATCTAAAATAAAATTTTAACAAAATAATTATAATGTTTATGAAGTAAAGTGACCTGGATTGACGTTTACGGGTTATTTTTTGTGGAGTAGGATGATACGAAAGATCGCTGTCAGCAGTGGACATATCCTCTCCTTTTTCATCCGAAAAAATCGAGTCCAGATCCATAGCCTTCAAAAGTATCAGACAATAGTAAATAATTTATAGTTATTTCAAATCAGATATATAAAAAGAATATACTTACAACTCCAAGGCGTTCTACTGGCTTTCGATTTTCTCTTATTTGATAAGTCTTTGACAAATCTTCTCCATTTCCACTTTCTTCCATAATCTACAAATATTCCTATTAATTAAGTTTTCTGCAGTATACAACTGGTTATGCTTTAATTATAGCAATTACGTACCAATAAATCATTCTTATTCACTTATGAAATAAATTAGGTAAGAACGACTCAAAATTTACACTTAATTTAAAATTGAATCTTAATAAATAAAAACCCAATTTGTAAAGAAAAATCTTAAAATAAATATAATAATAATAATAATAAAACTTACACTTTCTGACAGAGATCGGCCATGCACCATACCATCTGTTACTCCAGTCTTACGACGCAGTCGACCATGGTAGACTCGTGCGCGTGATTTCTAATTTTCCCAAGATCAAAATTATTTCTAAGGATTTTTGGTATTCAATCACCATAAAAATGACATGATTTATATATCTCTGTTCCTATGAAAAAAGAAAAATTCATTCTTGATAACACAAACCTCTAAATCACGTTGTTTTTGTTCGAATGCTTGTTGGAGACTGGTGAAATTATTAGCAGCTTCCTTTACCAAATTCAAATTCCTGATCACGTTGTCAGGTAAATCAAAGTGTCCCTCGACCATTTCATTCCAAATATTTATCATATCGTGTTCCTTCAGTTAAAATAGATCTTCAAATAAAATTCCAAATTTTCAAATAAAATTCTAAGTCTGAAAAATAAATATACCTGCTTAGCATAGCACAATTCAGCTTCTGCTAAGGTTCGTCGTAACACTCCCACTTCAGCTTTGGAATCATTCAACTCCGTCCGCATAACATCTAACTTCTTCTCATAAAAATTTTTCATTTCATCCATATCTCGTCTCAGTTCTTCAATGAGCGAATCTTTTTCCAAACAAGAACGCCTTTCGTTTACAGTCTACAAATATTTATTTTTAATTTTAGTTTCATGCCTTCCAAGAACTAAAATTTAGTAAAAAATTCAATCACCGCATCGAACAGACGATCTAATCCTGCCTTTGCCTCTGTAAGATTTCGCAGAGCACTCCACAGTCGATCACGATGTTCATCCGAGTAAGCTTTTGTGCATTTCTTCTGAATATCACTAAGTTCACTACCTCGTAACTGAATTTCTCTATCTAAATTCTTTAGCTGCTCTTCAATTGCCTGCCTTTCATCTTCAACTTCCATATCGAATCCAGTACGACGCTAAAATATAGGAAAATCTTCAAAGTGATTTAATAGGTGACAATGAAACAAAAAATACTTCGGCATTTATTCTAACACTGGCTGTATATCAAAGTATCAGAAAAAAAAAATTATTCAAAACTAAAATATTATTTGCGACAAACCTTGACTGGTGGTTCCTTCAATAATTTCTCCTGCCTTTTCATTAATTTCTGTTGCTGAAGAGAGAGAACTTTTCGCTGTTCGATTAAGATTTGACAATGAATTTCAGCTTCAGCTGCAGAATAAGCTACAGCCAATTCATCATTTAAAGCCGACTAAAAAAAAGAGCGTGTTTAATCTAGTATGAACTAAATCTGACTTCATGTTTCCACAAATCCAATTCAGGAAAAATTCAAAGCTAATATCAGTCATTGAATGTTTTCAATTTAATTTTCAAATACACATAAATTTAGCCCATTTAAGCGTTTAAAAAATGCCCAAAATTTGCAGAACTACCCACAATAAATTGTCCATCACAACATGTTTTTGCTCGAGTAGTGCTTTTAGTAAGTTGCATTTGCAAACGTCGGTTGCAAGCATTTGCCTCTTCGTATTTTCGTCGATATACAGCTAATTGTAGATTTTTTGCATGCTGTTCTCGAGCCATTTCCATTTCACGTTTACGTACCTTAATGAAAGAGACACGATAAAATTAATGGAATCAGTTGAAGTTTATAAAATTAATTGAATTAATTAAAGTTTCTGAAAGTCACATACAAAGAATATATATAGACGGAATCACTTTATCCATGATTCCTTACAAAGTTTTTTTTTGCCTTTTTATTAAAAATTGAACTACGAACTTGATTTTTCAGCTGTGCCATATTTCGATCCGCCATCATTTTCCACTTCCGAAACCTTACTTCTCCTTCCCTCATTTGCTTAGACATTTTGACCCTCAATTTCTTTAATTCCTGTAAATAATATGCTTAAGAGTATTTTAGAAAATGACCTGGAGCTTCATAATTATAATTAAATATTAGGAAAGATAACAAGATATACGCTAGTATAAAAACGTAAATTTTAGCAAGAAAAAAAAAAATACAGTAATGGAATAAAAACACTGCAACATGAAAAATATAAAATTATGACGACAACAAAGAAATGTCATCTAGATGTCTGTTCACAGATACTAATAAATTTTGCCAACCACTATTAACGGAAATTATGAATTTCTGAAATAAATTTTAAAGAAATAAAACGTACGCCAAGTTCTATACTCAACTTCTTCGACTGTTCTTGCAAACGAATGTTCTCTTTTTCCAGCTTCTGGATTTCTCCTACCCGTCTCTTGCTCACTGCCAGTTCTTTCTCGAGTTCTTGAAGTCGTTTCCGTCGTTCTTCGCTTAGTCTTACAAAAAATGCAAATTTATTATTTCAAAACATCATATATTTCTTCGAACCTATCTGCTCATGACCAATAAACAGCAATTTTGGACATAACCCATACTTACTTATGATGGATACTGGATCCTTTGAGCTTGCTCAACAATTCCTGCTTTTCCTTCTCCAAAACAATCAGTTTCGCTTGCAATTGTTCCATTTCAGCGGCATAGGTATCACGCATCTTAACGATTTCTGTTTGAGAAGCGACGGTTGCTTCAAACGCCAGCTCCTAAAATTCATTAAATACAGTTCAAATTAATTAGTGTAAGCCACCAGCGTATATTGAATTAAATAACAAACTTTTTGCTTGATTTCTTCCAAAATATCCCGCATGTCCTTATTAAGTGCTATTTGCTTTTCAGTAAAACGATTTACAAATGCTTGGTCGGATGTTTCATCATCTGCATCATCTTCGCCAATCTAAAAAACGAATTTAAAACTATTGGTCCTGTATTATAACAATAGGTAATAGAATCACTTATGTCTATAAATATAACCTAAAATATAAAATATCTTTTTTTATAACTGCACTGGCAACGACAGGTCATCTCGGCTTTCCTAGAAAAGATAAATTTTTTGTTAAACCATTTTTTCACTTTATCCTCAGATTACTTCATAACTTCACTAAGTTATTAATAAAATAATTTACATCGAACACATCTTTGTCTTTTTCCTCTTCGACAGGGCCTCGCAAATTGATAGCAATGTCTAAAATCTTCATCGCTTCATCAAATTCCTTATTTTCGCTTTTCTTTCTGGAAACTTGAAAAATTAATATGAGAGTGAGTTTTTCTTAAAACTAATCAAACTCAAACAAAAATTTACTTGATTTCCCTCATATGATCTCTCAATTGCTCAACGATCTGTTGTGAAGCAAGTAACTGCTCCACCAATTTCGAATTCTCTACCATCGCTTCCGCGAACCGTACATTACGACGATTGTAATCTTCCTGGTTCTCTAAATTTTGCTTTTCTAACTCGACACATCTTTTGCAGTCGTTCGTTATCTCACTGCTAAACAAAATTATTATGAAAAAACATCAACAGTCAAAGTCATTGATACAAGAATTTCCCCTTAATGCATCATATTTCGAATGGAACTAATTGATTCAATAGCAATTATTCAAAAAACACAAAGAGAGGATAATGAAAGGAACTTTTTTATTACTAAAATTCAAAATCAAAAAAAAAAAAAAAAAAAATTTCTGGACTAGTAGCAAGAATCTTACATTGTTTGGTTATCTTCCAACTTTACCAAATTCTGCCCAGCACGAAGCATTGCTAGTTCATGTTTCACACTTGCCAACTCATCTCTCAAACCTTGGATTAGAGCCATATTTGGATCGGCATTCACAGTGGGCTTGTTCTTGATACGCTTCGCTCGATCTGCATATCGTAGTGTTGACAGAGTTTCGTCCGCATTCGTATCAGCTGGTGAAATACATGCTATCATCACTGTATAGCTATTCCCTCCAAGTGAATCTGTAAATCAAATTTACTCTACAATGCAATCATCATTTTCTAACAACAATGTTCATAAATGATAATTAGAGAAAAAAAGGTATTATAATATACAATTAACTTTGCATCTTAGAATTTGCACAATCAATTATTGATTGATATATCATCCACTTGACCACTCAATTCACAAGTGAATTTCGAAAGCAGTAACAAGAATATTGTACTAAACCTTGAAGAAGACGTGTAATTTTCGTAACTCGATACGGAATATGGCGTCCCGTAGCATTCTGATCGGTCAAAGATGCAATTACATTACCCAATGCTAGTAAACCTTCGTTGATCTTAATACCTTCTCGCATTCTTTCGCCCTCAGCTTGAGTCTTTTTCAAACGCTCAGAACCAGCCAAATCCACAAGATGAAGTTTCGCTTTGAATAAGGTGCTGAAATTGTTGTTTAAATTATATGATTAATATATTCAACTTATATAAATAATACAAGTAACTTTAATATCGAGTAGGAGCTTGAACCTTTCCGCTGATTCATTTCCTTCGATGCACAATGTGAAAATGGCATGCGAGCGTGATGACTTGTCGTTCATAGCAGTTTCCCCTCTACTTCGAAGCTGACAACCTTTTTGCAAGAGTTTCATGGCATCTTCAAGACAGGATACTGGATGTACCGATAATCCTTGCACCTAAAAAATTGAACCTTTTGAACTAAGAGTAACTATGTTGAGTAGAAACCTACATTTTATAGAAAAATATGTTAAGATTTCAAAATATATCTAACAAATTTAATGCATACAAAAACGGCTCCTTTTGATTCGCGAATTTGCAAGCATTCCCGACTAATGCAAAGTAAATCGATGACTTTTTCCTCATATATCTCAAGCATTGATGCTGTCACTCGATGCCTCTCTGATGTTCCAATTTCCTTGAAGATGCCATCCACTAATCGTGAAATAATTCCACGTCCCTCACTTGATGCGGTTACCTAAAAATAAATTTTTTTCCTAATCTTAAATTTAAAAATTAAACTCACCATTGCTCATAAAGTTTGCTCACATGCATATTGATGCATTATGCAGTTCTCATGTTAGTAGCATTTCTTGAATAATATTATTTCACTTTTTTATAGATGAGCTTAACCGATTTAAATCAAATCATCATGAAGTAGAAACTGCTATGAAAATAATACAGTAATTGCCGACATAGATGCAATGTAACTTCCATATGACACTTTTGAAACAGAAAATTGGTCATACCTACCTTGTCAACGTAAAGGAAAAAAAAAGAAACCAAAAGTATTAACCGTTTCTTCAGTCCCCATTGTATAGGTTTTACCGCTACCCGTTTGTCCATAAGCAAGAATCGTACAGTTATATCCTTAATTTACAATTAATCGATTTTTCTATGAAAGAATTTTATCACACAAACACAAAAAATTAAGTTATAATCTGTTTTCAAAATAAACTGAGTGAATGGAAGAGACATGGTACTACCATCAAAAATTTTTTCCAGTAATGGGGCAGCACACTCGTCGTATATTATTTCTTGTGATGTAGTAGGGTCGAAGACGCTGTCGAACGTGAACATTTTACCATTTATCGATATCTAAACAAATAATTCAGTATACTTTATTTATACTAGAAAAAAATTACTACCAGTATTTCTTTCCCCTTTCAGTTAGTCTTCAAATGAAAGTACCCACCTGACTTTGTTCCACAAAGCACTGAACGCATTCTTGGGAATTTTCTGCCTTTTCACGACTATTAAGTGGTCGAACACGAACGGCAACCCTAACTGGTATAACCTCCGACATTACGTTTGCCTGAAAATTTCGAAGCAAGATATCAAATTTTATTGGGAACTGAAGTAAAAGAAACGAGAATGAAATCGAAAATATGTCAAAACACAAAAATGAGGTAAACTTAAAAATATGTGAAAATTTTATCGTATAACAAGATTAAAGTGTAGGTAATATATTATGTAAATGTTTCCGGCCTAAACATGATATACGAAAAAGTATCTTTTTCCGTGAGATGAAAAACAACAATCATTGAATAGTTAATTACTACATAACAAATATCTGAATAATTAAACAATAATAATAATAACATTCAGGGTGAATACTAGTCAAACAACAAATAGCGTCGGTCATCTGACCAACAGAAGTAACGTAAGATTTACAGTAACACAAAATATTATCTATAGTGTAGATTAATACTGCACTTAGAGAATAATCATATTGATGTAAAAAAAAAAGATAACAATACATGTATCATTTACGTGTACGCATTAAAAAAAAAGTGAATATCATAAAGATAAATGAAAGAGACAATATATTAGAGAAAAAAAGAACAGCAAATATATGTATGAATGAAAGCATATAATTTCATTTTATTACTTTTATCAAAGATGAAAAAATAAATAAATAAAATAAACGAGTCGTTCAATTCTCCCCCTCATTCCTGAACTAAATAATCTAGTTCAAGTTTAATTTATTTAGGAAATTTTAAATTTAAAAAAAAAAAATTCTGCGTCACTTTCATATTTAAATTTGTCCTCATCTTTTCAAAAGCCAAAAATATGTAGGAGCATAAAAGCAGCATATAAACATCTTTAATATTTCATCCCAACTTTGTAACAAACATTATTAATGATTGAGATAGAAAGGAAAAGGAGAAAGAGGAGGGTGAAAGTATATAATTGTGTAAATTGTGTAATATTAAATAGGATGAAATTTTGTAATGACCTAAGTATGACCTTGTAGAAGATTTCATTTACTTTCATCTAAATTACTCAGCTGTTTCCTTTTTTTTTTTTTGCTTCTTTCTTTCTTTTTTTTTTTTTTTTTGCAAGTGATAAATATTCGAGAAAAAGAAAAAAGAAAAATCCAACTAATTTTTCAACTTTTTTCTTTTTTACCCTAAAATATAATTGTAATTTTTATAATACTATTTTTGACTTGTATTTTGATTCAACTAATTAAGCAAGAAAAATTCTTCCAATAATAATGATAGATTTTATTCATTTCTATTAATGTCAATCTAATTATATGATATGTTTATGTTAGAAGGATTTCTTCTTGTTATCGTTATTGTTTTTGTTGTTACTGCTATTATTATTGTTATTAATTATTGATACAATTATTGCTACTGTTATGGGTGTGTATGTGTTTATCGATTTGTTGACGCGAAAAAAAAAAAAACGATGCTGGCAAGGATTATATTGGTTGGTGGTGACCGTTTAAATTGCATTTATGGTGTTACTCGCATTAGCAGTGCGTTAGCAGTTGCTCGAGCTGTTAATACAATGGTGAAACGAAATATGTCAACAGCAATTCGTAAAGAACGTGACACGTTTGGTGAATTGCAAGTACCAGCAGATCGTTATTATGGAGCGCAAACTGCAAGGTTCGTTACTTTTTCTTTTTCTTTTTTTGCTTTGTTTTAATTTCATAGTGTTATTGTTTTGTTTTGTTTTTTTTTTTTTTATTTTTACAAATTTTGCTGTTATTCCTTTATTTGAATAAACAGAATAAAAAAGAAGAGATAAGAATAGGTGATATGACTTATATTTTAAAAAAGGAGATAGAAAGGCGAGAAAAATGACTAATTTTTGTGGAGCTAATATAAGCCTTTTATTGGCTTAATGATAAAAAAAGTGGCTAAATAGTACTATATAAATAATTGAAATCAAGTACTGTTTAAATAATAGTTGCTTTAATGGTGAAGTAAGATGAAATAATGTTTCTTTTAATATTTGTCATAAATTGAGACAATCTGATGATAAGCGTTTTAAAACATGAGGAAAGGATGACATACCTCAAAAATGCATAGATACAATTGACAATTATACTGATTGCAGAGACTTTTAAATGAGATGAATTCAAAAAAGATTCAATTTTTTGGTGATTATATCAAAAATTTTTAAAAAGTGTGAACTTTATTTTTTCTCGGTTACACTGCTGTGTTATTATTATCATTTTTGTTTAATTTAAAGACTCGAATATACACGATGAACAAACGATTAATTTTAGATCAATGATAAATTTCAAAATTGGTGGTCCAGAAGAACGTATGCCATTACCAGTTATTCATGCATTCGGTATCTTAAAAAAAGCTGCTGCATTGGTTAACAAAGAATATGGCTTAGATCAAAAAATTGTGGACGCTATTGCAAAAGCTGCAGGTAAGCTTTGTGTGATCTTTATCAGTTTTATATTTTTGTTTTCTAAATATTCATTTAATATTTCATAATAATTCAGTAAGCTCCAAATCAAAGAGTTCTCTTAGTCCATTTTGCATCGTTCTTTATTATAACTACTTTTTCTTCTGTCATTTTTAGTTTTATGTTAAAAAATGAAAAGCTAATTAGAAATTTGTCGTTAGAGATTATGTCAGTTATATTTTTTGTCTTAAGCAAACTCTTGAAGTTTACCGAGATTATTAACTTTATTATCTCAAACAATTAAATAAAATTAACTTTTTGCTTTGCTAAAGTTCTTTTTGGTCTTTTCTTTCTTTTTTCTCTGTTCATTACATCGTCTGTGGATCTGCTGATGAAAATAGTAAAGGAGAAATTTTAATTTTATTTTGTCTGTTGATAAACTGTAGTGTTATTTAGTGAATCCTCTCTGTCACGTTTGCAATTCCAATGACAAATGATAAAGAAACGATTTCCAATTTTTTTTTACTTGAGCAGGAATTATAGGTGCATGTATGCATGAAGTGGTCTGACTTTGGTTTTTTAAGGAATTTACACTGATGAATGGAGTGCCATTCGTTATTATGAATTCTTTCTTTTTTTTGTTAAATGAAATTTCTTACAGCAATGCCAGATCTTTTTCCTTTTCCGAAAACGCTTAAAAAAGAAAATAAACACTGTTATTTCATATCAAAATTATTAATTTCAGCAAAAAATGACCAGTATAGTCCATCATTTGACTATCAGTTATATGCATTATCTTTATCTTTAGAATCACATATATCAAAAATTTTCTATCAATTATATTTTTCTATATATCTTTGGACATTCATTTGTTAAACATATCAAGACTTGATTGTTTTTCAAACTATGCTTATTTACTTTTTCTTCCTATCGAATTGAATTATTGTAGATGAAGTCATTGCGGGCAAACTAGATGATCATTTTCCACTGGTGGTTTGGCAAACCGGATCCGGTACACAATCGAACATGAACGTCAATGAAGTAATATCGAATCGCGCAATTGAAATGTTAGGCGGTGAATTGGGATCCAAAAAGCCAGTGCATCCAAATGATCATGTGAACATGTCGCAGTCATCGAATGATACTTATCCGACGGCTATGCACATCGCTGTAGCTAGGTTAATTACTTTATGTTTGTAGTTAGTTTCTTTTTTTTTTTTTTTAACTCATCTATTTTGTATTTTTAATTTGATTGTATATGGAATTTAGCTTATTTAAAGTTACTTGAAGTTTGGTTACTTTTCAGAATTTCTCTCGAAGCTTATGTTCATTCCTTAGTTTCGACAATATTAACTTAGTGATGACTAGATGTAGATTTCATTATTTACTAATGATTAAATCATGTCTTGAAATTTCTTTAATGATTGCAACGATCGACTATGTATTTCCATATTACAGATTTTCGTGTGTAGGATCTACTTCATTAGTCGATTGCAAACATTTCGATATTTGTATGGTATCATTTTAGAGAGATAAATTCTCGTCTGTTACCATCTTTACAACAGTTGCTTGATTCGTTGCACCGAAAATCGAAAGAATTTGAAAACATTATCAAAATTGGCCGTACACATACTCAGGATGCAGTACCACTTACGCTTGGCCAAGAATTTGGTGGTTATGCGCAGCAGGTCTTTTTATTATTTATAATAAATGTAACATTCATGTAATGAATTCATTTCATTCAGTGTTAGAGTAAAGAATGTTCCATACAAGTAAAAGGATGTGAAATGAGTAGGTGGAAAATGGTATAGCACGCGTGAAGGATACGCTACCACGTTTGTACATGCTTGCTGCTGGTGGTACTGCTGTTGGAACTGGTCTTAATACACGAATTGGTTTTGCTGAAAAAATTGCAGCGTATGACTTTTTGTTTTCTTCAGTAAATTGAAACTAGCAACTAAGTACTTAGCAAACATCTGAAATCTATTTTAAATTGTGTCATATCGAATATAGAGTTTGCGTGCTATGTCAATGTTATATTGTAGCCAAAAATTGTATCGGAATTTTATATATAATATCATTAATTTCTTTTTTTCTTTTGCAGTTTTATGATTATTTCTGTCATCCATCCAACAAGTTTTTTACCTTATTTAAAAATCTAATTTGAAGTTCCAAAATCATTTTTTTTTTCAAAATCAGGTTTAATCTTTCATGGCTTCCAAAAGCATTTTAGAAAAATTGCTGAATTAACTGGTCTGCCGTTCGTTACGGCTCCAAACAAATTTGAAGCATTAGCAGCCCATGATGCAATGGTAGAAGTAAGTTATAATTTGAAATCGTATATCGCCATCGCTGATGCGAAAATTTACAAAAAAAATTTAATCTTGTTATATAGTTCGCCTAATATTAAGTGATAGAAAAATAACGTAAATAAACGAAATTGAATTGGAATTATTTTAAAGGTGCATGGTTCTTTGAACACTATAGCAGCAAGTTTGATGAAAATTGCAAATGATATACGTTTTCTTGGCTCTGGTCCACGTTGTGGTCTCGGAGAGTTATCACTACCTGAAAACGAGCCTGGAAGTTCTATTATGCCAGGTAAGGTGAATCCTACACAGTGCGAAGCGGTTACCATGGTTGCTGCTCAAGTTTTCGGTAATCAGGTATGTATTTTTGCTTAAATAGCTGTCAGTGATCTAAGGATTGTGATTTTTCAAAAATTCCATCAATAATTTAATAAATTTTAGGTTGCTGTTAGCGTTGGTGGATCAAATGGACACTTTGAATTGAATGTATTCAAACCAATGATTGTTCGCAATGTTCTTCAATCAACTCGACTCATTGCTGATGCATCTGTATCATTTACAGTTAATTGTGTTGACGGCATTAAAGCAAATAAGGTTGAAAAGCTTTTATACTTTGTGTTTCTGAGTATTTACTTACTTAATGATTTAATGAAAGATTATTTGAGCTAATACTACATTCCATTTGTTTTAATAACTTCTAAATCACTTGTTTAAGTGTTGTGAAGTAAAGAATAACGATTGCTGGTATTTGCTTTTAAAATATTGTCTGCTGCAGGAGAATATTGCAAAAATTTTACGTGAATCGTTGATGTTGGTAACAGCACTGAATCCTCATATCGGTTATGACAATGCTGCTAAAATTGCCAAAACGGCTCATAAAAATGGCACTACTCTAAAAGAAGAAGCTATAAAATTGGGAATTTTGACCGCTGAGCAGTTTGATGAATGGGTACGACCAGAGAAAATGTTAGCACCCAAATAAGATATTAAGCATAAAAAATATTCCCTGCTAGTTATGGATTTGACTTAAAACGATGACCACTTATTATTTTTTTTTTTTTTTTTAATAAAAATTGGTTGTCTATTAGTAATTATTCTAAAGACTAGCATTATTTGTTACAATTTTCGGAATTGTCTTCAACTTCATGAAATCTTTTACGATGCAGAAATTTCAGAGAAATTATTTGAATTCCAATTTTTAATCTCATTAAATCTAATTTTTATTAAGTTCTTTTGCTGATGAATTGTTTTTCCGTATATTATGTACAGATTATATTTGTGTAGAAAGGTATCATACTATTGCTTGTAGTATATGATTTATGTTATATGCATCTGTTTTTGATCATCATTATTCTATAAATAGAAATTTCCAATTGTTCTGCCGAAATGGCATTTAACTTATTGTTCAAGGTTATTGGTTTATTCTAATAATAAAAGTTTTCGTCTTTCAAAACTATTTATCAACTGTAAATCAACTGAACCGAGAGCAAGTCTTCAGTGATAATTACATGTTACAAGTTAGACATAAGCGAACAATTAAAATTTTGCTCAAATTCTAAAGCTTATTACTTGACAGCACAGTTTAAAATGATGTGTCAATTTGTCCAAGTGCTAGTCATTATATTTTTTCCTTTTTTAAATAATATAAACATAATCATCATTATGCGTCAAGAACAAATCCTTACTGTTGAAAAATACCAACATCATTAAATCTCTTTATTATGGTAATAAATTTATAATTTTTCAAATTATCACAAAAAATTATGATTTATGTTATCATTAAAACTAATATGGATATTCACAGCAATATAATTATTGCTTTTTAAATTGAAAATCTTTTAAATGTAGCAAGACGAGATTGTTTAAAGTTAATTGAAAAACTTTCACATCAAATGTTATATTTTCCCCTAACATTTGTAATTCATTAAATTAAAACGAACAACAGTCACATAGTTGATAAACGATGAATGTAGCAATCAATCGATCAACTAAAACCGATCTAAGATTAACGAACAATTACTGCAATTTATCTATCAGCAATATTAGTGATAACTGATTAAAGAATCAAATAATCAATGCCTGTAATTAATAAATGGTATAAATTAATTTATATAATTATGTTTCAAAGAAAAAATGATATAAATATGATAAAATATCCCAAAAGTGTTATCATTTAAGTAAAGTACAGCTTTAATATTTTATCAAAATGATCCAAATAACGGATATATTGAATAGATTGAAAGAAATTAAGTAAAAATCGGAAATGAAATTTAAAATCCAATTCACTTTTGGATGAAGTTTAATATTAGTTTTAAAAAAGAAAAACTGATGATATGCTAGTATTAATAATGATTACTATGAAATCATTTAGTAAACTTCCTTATTTCATAGTAACATTAATATTAAAGTATATTGTTGTATGTTTTAAAAAAAAAAAAAAAAAAGTTAAAAATTTTTAACAATCAAATAATAAAATTTTTGAGTAATTTAAGTAAAATAAAATATGGATGAAGTATATTTTCTGCCAATTCATAAACATTTTTATCACTTATAATCATTTTTTATCAGCACCTGCTGTATAATAATTTGCTGAGAAAATTTAATTTTTCAAAGTACTAAACATTTTATATTGGAAAAACTTTTCTTTTTTTTTTTTCTTCCTTTAAATTATTAAATCTTTTTATAATTTATAAGTTATTTCAATCAGTTTTTTATCATTCATCTTTTCCTTATCAGTAGTTTTCAAAGTGATAACTTTTCTATTATAATGTTTGAAATGTTGTAAAATGTTTCAAAATGTATCCAATTGAGCATTACACCAAATTGTAAAATTCACGTGTGAATCATGTTTGAAGGATTAATTTCATTTATTGATTTGTTAGAATTGTATAAAATAATAAAAAAAAAAAAAAAAAAAAATTGATGGAAATGATTCAGTTATTGATTTCTTATCTATGTGCTATATATATATGAAATAAATTTATAACTTAAATATTATATATAGTGTAATGAGTATAATTTATTGTATATATATACATATATATATTTTAAATATACCGTTATAATTTATTTCAATAACAAATTATTTGATGTCTACTTGATGAAAATTTAATTTGGCAAAATTTTCAAGGGATTTTTAAAAAAGTACAACAATCATAAATCATCGGCAAATATTAAATCACAATTTACAAGTAGGTCATCGACATTCTCGGGCTATTAACCATTTCCTCTTATTCACTATTATAATGCTAAAAAAAACAAAAAAAAAAAATGCAAAATTAGGAAAAATGAAATAGTACATATGCAAACGACGATTGCATAGACGAATAGAAAATATTATTATTATTATTATTATTATTATTATTATCATTATTATTATTATTTCTTGCCTTCTCATTTCTTCATTTTTAATCCTATCTATAATATCTATATTTATATATAATATTAATTTTCTTTTTCTATTATTTTAAAAAAAAAAAAATAATTTTTTTTCATTTTAGAAATGATACTATAATAATAATAAACGAAATATAATATTTTTGACTAATAAGAGCAAAAATTAACAAGCTAATTTCATTTCAAAACGGAAAATCTTTTTTTTTTTGTTGAACTTTTCTTTTCGCTTTTCCTTGATGAAAAATGAAATCAAAGTATAAACTTTAGATTTGTTCATTTTTTTCTTTCTTTCTTTTTTTTTTTTTTTAATGTATGATTTTAAAGGAGAAAAATAATTTTTTTATTTTTCATTTCTAAAATAGCGGTTAATTTCAATTTCAAACCTTTTCTTTTGATAAAAAAGAAATTGAACATTGAATGTTAATTTGTTATGTATTATTTTACAAATGGAAAAGAGGAAAAAAACTTTCTTTCACTTTTTTTTCTTTTTTTTTTTTTTTTGTTAAAATAATAGCACTAATATAATTTGGTGTTGCGAAAAGAAAAAAAAAAAAATTTGGGATGTAAATTCATTCGAAAAAATTTTTCAGAAGCGAAATTAATCCATTGATTGATCATTCGACTGATTGATTAATTGATTGATTGTCGACATGCATGCATCACTGATCAAATATTATTTAATTTATTATAAATTAATGAATGTATATTATTACAAAATTATTCATCCAATATTAACAATCTCCTATCAGAATGATTAGAAAAATGAAATAAAACATTTAAAAAAAAGTATGTTAATCATATCGAAAATGCTAAAATATTGATTAAAATAATGCTAAATGATATATTTTATAGAATTAAAGTAAATATCTCCTTTTTTTTTCCCTGGAATAATTTAAATTGTCTGAATACTAAATTTCATTAAATAAAACTGATAAGATTGTTAAGTGCTTTTTTTAAAAAAACAAAAACAAAGAAATGAAATGTTATAAAAGTATGTTTAAATAAAAGAGTACAAAATGAACAACTTTATCTATTAATGAATAATCAAATAATTTCTTGCACTTGTTTAAAAAAAAAAATGTACTATTTACATTTAAAAAATGCATATATTATTGAATAATACAATAAATGTTTCTTTTTTTTAAAAAAAAAATAAGGAAACATATTTGCATGTTTTTTTAGTAATTAACTTTTTGCTCTTTAAAAATTAAACAATTTTCAAATAGTTTTCAATGAAAACGAAAAGATTCATATAATTCATATAATTTTAATTTAATGAATTAATTTCTCTAATGAATATTCACAATAATTGATTGTTTAATAGCTCTTTTATTTTATTTTTTTTAAATCTTTTTTTTTTTTTTTTTTTTAACATAAATCAATCCATTAACAAAATGTAGATATCATAGCACTAATATTAGATATATATATGTGTATGTAGTATATGTTCATTAATATCTATTAATGTTATAACATTTATCATTCTAAACTAGTACGAGAGCAAATATTTGAATGCAAAATTGTTGCATTCATTTGTAACTGTGAAATAAATAATTTAATGAAATGATTTCAAAAAATATACGCACCTAAATTGAAATTTAAATAAAAATTTTGAAGAAATAAGATAAATTTAATTTTTATATAACAATTATATCTACCTTGGTCATTTCCGCATATTTCTTTTTTTGCTTATTCCTTTTTTTATTTACTGATATACGTATATACGTATTCACATACACATATATACACACATACATGCATATACGTATACACATATAATACATAAGGAAGTATATTATTACACAAAAATTTTTCACAGCTATCCTTTAAAAGTGCAAATAGAAAATGTACCAAATATATTATAGACAGACAAACATACACGTGCGCACACAGACACACACACATACACATATGTATGATACATACGCACACATATGCAGATGAATGATTTAGAAAAAAGCTAAAGAGTGGTAGATGGATGGATGGATGGATGGGAAATCAATAAATGTTGAAGGTTTCCAGATGTAAAGCACTACATTTTTGCACTACTACATACATCGTCACAATTTCACAAAATTCTTAATTTATTTCAATGACAATGTTTCTTTCCTAATTAGAAGAATTTTCATATTATTTATAAATAATATTATTTAAGTTCATTTTATTATACACAAGCCAGTTAATCAACCACACAGTAGAACTAATCAATCAATATACATCGTGATAAAACCACAATAAATTCATCCACCTTTTCCTTCTCACACTGAAATTGTACCACTTTTTTTTTTTCTTTTGTTTCATAATTATTGATATATCATTGTAACAAAACCATCGTAGCATTACATCACATTTCTTTTTTTTCCTGCGTTTGGATTGAGTGATGGGAATTAAATTGGGGAGGAATGTGTGCATGTTTTGTAGGAGATTTATGGATTGTTATTACTTTTTTTCTGATAAGTTGTATGCAATTTGTTATCAAACATTTATTTTTTATTATGTGTACATGTATTTAATATAATTTGGTATAATTAAAGTGAGATATCAAAATGATGGCAGATGCAGCAACAGCTCATGTGTTATTTGATGAATTTGGGCAACCGTTTCTACTGCTACGTGATCAGGAGAAGCAAAAACGTTTAACCGGTACTGAAGCATTAAAGGTAATTGAAAGGACAATGTCACATTTTCATGCTTATGTTTTTTGAAACGATAATAAATATAAAAAATTTTTTTCCCTAACATTTATGTACTACTGTTGTTTTGTTAGTTTAATAACAAGGTTTAAATTTTTGACGCATATAATTCATAAAAACAAATTCATATTAAATATAGTGCTTAAAATGTGATATTTGTTGAAATTCTGCAGATAGCGTATTTGACGTATGTGAGTTTATATTATAAATATAGAATCTTGTGTAATTCCTATGTAATTTTTATTTAATGGTACTAGTAAATCTGAGTGGGTATTTGTCATTTCCATTGGCATGAAAGAAATTGAACTGATTTAAATATTTTTCTTAGATGAAATAAAACATTAGTTCTTAATCATTTAAGAGTCATATTCTGGCTGCACGTGCGGTAGTAAGCACACTGAAATCGTCTTTGGGACCTCTTGGTATGGATAAGATGCTTGTTTCTGGCGATGGTGACGTGACAATTACGAATGATGGTGCTACGATTATGGAAAAGATGGATGTTGAGCATCATGTAGCCCGCCTTATGGTTGAATTGTCAAAAAGTCAGGATGACGAGATAGGCGATGGTACGACAGGTGTTGTAGGTAATGTTTAAATTTACCTTCCCAATACCAGTAGTAAAATGTGCGGAAGCATTAGAATGTTTAAACTATGTTTTTATTTTAATGAGATGAGTGACAAATACATGAATAAAGGTGTTTCTATTGTCTTCATATGTTGCTAAATTATTGTTGAATTCTATGTATAAGTAATGGAAGGACTTTTCGGTTCTAAATATTTAAGTCTTCAGATAATTTTCCGATTAAGCATTATGTATTAATACTATTCATTATGTTTTGTATGTTGCAGTCTTGGCTGGTGCGCTACTGGAACAAGCGGAAGATTTACTTGATAAAGGCATCCATCCGATTAAAATAGCGGATGGATTTGATCTGGCATGTAAAAAGGCATTGGCAACATTAGAAAATGTTGCGCATTCTTTTCCCATACATAATCGTGAACTACTGATTGAATCAGCTGTTACTGCTTTGGGTTCAAAAATGTAAATTTAATATCTCAATGAAACATATTTTGTTTTCTTTATTTCTATGCTTACAGCTAGAAATCTTGAAGTATTTTGTCCTGTTTTGTAATGTACACGAAATATTTCAAGTGCGATGTGTCATTTTTTTTCCCTTTGTTTCTTTTGTTGAATATCCAAATCTCACTAACACAGTATTTTGGTTTCAGCGTCAATCGTTGCATGCGTCGACTCGCGGAAATCGCTGTAGATGCTGTATTGTCAGTAGCAGATTTGGAGACGAAAGATGTCGATTTTGAACTGATCAAAATTGAAGGGAAAGTGGGAGGCCGATTAGAAGATACATGCCTGGTAAAAGGAGTTGTTATCGATAAGACGATGAGCCATCCTCAAATGCCAAAGGTTACTGTATACACAAATATATTATTTTTTAGCTGTTCACTGATGCTAATAATGGATTTTTTATGTTTTCATTATGGCATCAATCATTGCAGGAATTAACTGATGTGAAAATTGCAATACTTACTTGTCCATTTGAACCACCAAAACCGAAAACAAAACATAAGCTTGATATTACTTCAACTAAAGATTTTCAAAATTTGCGAGAATATGAACGAGCAACTTTCGAAAAAATGATCGAACAGGTCATGCTTTGGAGATAAATTGATTTTTCTTTTTTGTTTTCTCCTTTGTTACTAAGAAGAGCATATTTTTTATCAGATAATAGTCAGTTGATTTAAATTTGTTCGAGATTTTTTCAGTTGATCATGAAAGTACTACAACTTTTTGTTTGAACTTCAGGTCAAAGATAGTGGCGCTACTTTAGCAATTTGTCAGTGGGGCTTCGACGATGAGGCCAATCATCTTCTACTTGCTCATAATCTTCCAGCAGTTCGTTGGGTTGGTGGACCTGAAATTGAATTAATTGCGATTGCAACTGATGGTCGTATTGTTCCACGTTTTGCTGAACTTAAATCTGAAAAACTGGGAAAAGCTGGAAGAGTTCGCGAGATGTCATTCGGAACTGCCAAGGTAAATTTTCTTTGATATTATTTTGTCATTCATAATGAATTGGCGATGTAATTGTGAAGCACTGAAATTGGGATTAGAATTACACTCATTATGATGCATTGCCAGTAGTATCAGTAACGCTTGTGCGCTAATGGTAATAAGCAGGTGTCCTAATCTTCTAACGACTGTAGAATAGAACTGGATGAAAAGTAAAATTAAAAGCAAATAGTAATAAAAGGTATCTCCAGTTTGTCACTACTTCGTGTTTTTGTGTTTAAAACGTTTATGTTGATAATAAGCTTTCTAATTGTTGAATAATGGTTAGCTAGAGACAATTTTTTTACAGGATCGTATGCTTTGTATCGAAGAATGCCCGAATAATCGTGCTGTAACGGTGTTTATTCGAGGTGGCAACAAATTGATGATTGAGGAATCGAAGCGTTGTTTGCATGATGCTCTTTGCGTTGTTCGCAATTTGATCAAAGATAACCGAATTGTTTATGGTGGTGGCGCAGCAGAAATCTCCTGTTCACTTGCTGTTGCAGAAGAAGCAGATAAAGTAATTTTGTTGCTGTTCAAGTCGGCCATAAATGTTTTTCCGTTTATTCTTTATTTTTTTATTTTTTCAAAATTTAAGATATTGTCAGTTTATTTACGAAATTGATGTAATATTTAGATTGAGGGTATTGAACAGTATGCTTTTCGCGCTTTTGCGGATGCATTGGAAAGTATTCCTATGGCATTGGCTGAAAATTCGGGCCTTTCTTCAATTGGTACAGTAACAGATTTGAAGGCAAAGCAGATCCAGCAGTCTAATCCAAAATTGGGCGTTGATTGTCTTGCTGTTGGCACAAACGGTTAGTTACTGATCAAAGCAGTTCTTTAATAAAAATAAAGTGTTCAAGTCAGGAGCTTAGTCCCTGAAATTGCTGTTGCTATTGAAATGCGCGCTTATTCATAAGTCACTGTTCTTGATGTTATCAAGTTTAGCATTTCATTAACAGAAAGTCTTCTATTTTGTACTAATTTAAAAAATAAAAGTTTTATATTATACAAACAAAGAAGTATTCATATTCGTTTTTCAGATATGGAAGAACAAAAGGTAATGGAGACATTATTGTCGAAAAAAGCACAAATATCTCTTGCAACGCAGGTTTGTTTATTTAGATTTCGCTTGTTCTTTTTTTAATCATTCTGTTGAAATGTTCTTTTTTTTTTAGAAAAAAAAACTGACTTTTTAGGATTTACATTTCTTAAATATTGTTTCTCCTATTTTTTGTTATTAGTTATGAATGCAGACAAATCTAATTTGATATATGCAATGTTTTGTAGGTAGTACGCATGATCTTGAAAATCGATGATGTCCGAGTTCCGGAGTCATAATAGCAGAAGTGTTCAATTTGATGATATTATTACTAACCACTTAAATTGTTTTGTTGCTTTTCAAAATTGGAAATAAATTTCTTTTTAATTTGAGTTTTTCTTAAATTTTAAAATTATGCCGTTCATTCGGCTTTTAGTATTGTTAATATCTATGAAATTATTGAACCATTTGTTTTGGTACACAGTTGCTCTTGATTTTGCATAACTGACTGAATGGATTGGAGGAATGATGAAAATATAAAATATTTTTTCTAGAATTTCTTTTTTTTTTTTGCATAGTTGAAGAAGAAAATATGCGATATAGTTGAATATCATGACCGCCGATAGTGATGTACTAAATAGCTGTAGGGCGGTGAGCATTAAGAAACGAAATAGCCGTGGGCATATGTACGTAGTTTTTGCATACATGTATGTTTTTTTGTTATTAAATAGGTTAGAAAAAGGTAGACTTGTTCTGAAATTTTATAATTTAATTTTTATCTTACTGATGGTAGCTGCTTGTTTTCTACTCCCTAAAAAAAAAGTTTTTTTTTTTTTTTTTTACGGTGTGAGGAATAGTATAGTGTTTAGAATATTAAAATAACTATTGATTAGAAAACAAGTAAGGAGAAATTAGGCTTCCATTGATGCAAATGTTTATGGAGTGATATTTGTCATCGAATTATTAAAATTTTGAGAGTAATGTAATGGTATAAGCTTGTAAATTTTTTGTTGATGAGAAAATACAGTTTCTAGTAGCAGTGCGCAATATACTTTAGTTTGGATATTTCTTAGTTTCTCAGTCTCTTACCACATCCTCAAGTTCATATGATCAGAAAATAGAGCTGAAACAGGTCAATCTTTTGAATATGATTTGTTAGAACTGCTTTAACTATGCAAACTGAATTCGTCAAAATGTAAAAACATGGGTGTTCAAAAAAAAAAAAACTTGTATTGCTTTTGTACCGTATTCTTTCACAGACTGAAAAAATGATAAGAGAGATGGGAAGGGAATATTTGGCTATTTTCTTAGTTGCTTTCGAAATTTTAATGATAGTTTGCTTTTTAAATAAAAAATAGATACGATTCAGTTGGTGCAGTATGACATGGCATATTTGGATTTGTTTCCATCGACATTGGGTGAGATGAAGCGAAAATCACTCGTTGTATAAATGAAATGATGCGTTAAAAATGCTTGAAAAATTGAGGATACTGGAGGGTTGGGTTTGGCGTACAATCACTTTACGGAATAGATTCCATTTTGTAATTTTGAGGGAAGGAGGAAAAGAAATAGGAGGACAAATATTGGACATTACTCTTTACAATTTTATGAAGCCTAGTAAATTGAAATTAGATTTTTTAGTGATATTCAGCAACTAGTTTCTATGCATTGTTTCCATTTTTTTTTAAAAACTTTCTAGTTTAATTTTATTTTGGGATGCTATATGACTATGCTAAGCATAAATTAGAGTACTGACATTTTAAACCGGAAATTTTACGATTGGTCATTTGGAAAAGCGTCCATTAGAACTGTATTTCGTCATCATTAATAATTTTCATGTTAAAAAAAAAATTATTTGACTATGCTTGTGCCAAAATAAAAGGTATTTGCTTTAGCAAACAATTTTAGTTGTCCATAAATCAGAATTTGACAGGATGATAAAAAACTTTTTTTCTTTGTTATTTTCTAAAACAATGCATTACTACCATCGTTTAATTTACTTAATAGTAAATTTAACCTTCATCATCGTTAAGAAAAGGAAAAAAGTGTCATGGATTTTTACTCGAACATTAACAGCAACGCAAGTGTTGCGTAATAACCAACTGTTGTTACGAAGGCAAAAAAAAAAGAAAAGAAAAATTGCCATGGATTTTGGACATATAACAACGACATGAGAGTTGTGTAATGTCTGCTTCTCAGCGACATATTTTGGTGGATTTTAATCAAGCAAACTAAGGAATTGGTAAGTTATATTACTCGAGTGATTCGAAGTATTTTTACCTTCCTATAATAGATTATATGAAATAATTCTGACGCAAATATGTGTTCTTTTTCCTTTTTTCTCTCTGAAGATGTTGATGTTTTCATAGTTATGATTCATGCTATTTACGATTAAGCTTTCTACGGAGTGAGCAATAGGTGGAATAACTGCTACCATATTAAAAAAAAAGTGCTTCATATGGAAGATTTTAGTCAGGAATATGTTTTATTTTTCCTACTTTCCTTTCCTATCATTGCTTACTTTCTCATCATATTTTCATACTGATTTAGGATATTTCATTGTACATATTGTTACTTCAGTAAATTATTTCTTCCTGGATTTTCAGTTATTGATTGTCAAATAACCAATTTACAGAAGAAAACTCATTTGTTTTGTTGATCGTATGTCTATAGCGACAAATACATCCAGCAATGTTACTACAACTTATACAAATGGACCAATGGTAAGTTTTTTTTTTTTTTTTTCCTTTTTTGCACTCCGTTTCATTTTTTATTAAAAAGAAAAACTTTTATAAATGGTTTAGGATGGTTTTTTAATGTTTTGCTCATTTCATTTACTATTCTTAATACTAACCTTGGAAATATTTTAAGCAGTTTATAATGTGATTTATCATCCAAGAAATGCTGCACGAAGTGATGCGATATCATTTATATCCAATTAGTTAATTAATAATCTATAACCTTTTTTTCCTTGAAAATTTTGATTTGTTAATGTTGTTTGTGGATGTAGAACTCTGTTACCATTTGAGCTCATGAAGATGGAAAGTGTAGTGCAGCGGGATGATTCATCGGTAGATGTCGTTACATTGGAAACCCCGAATTTGACATCACTCATTGGTACCAATTCAGCCACATTACCACGTAAGTTCACTATCATTGAAATATAATCATCTGATTAAGTTATTATTATGTTACCGAAGGAATTGGCTTATATGTTTCTCCCTTTCCCAAAATCAGCTTTCATTATTTTAATCACCTTTACTAAAATGGTTATTTCATAATTTGATAAATAATAAAATTCCTTTATTGTTAAGAGTTATGCATTATACAAATATTCCGTTTATACAAATGGATTTAGTGATTACTTGAAAATTAATTCCTTCTAACTGCACTCTTTTGGAAAAAACGTTCATTTTTCCTATCACCATTATTGTTTGTTGTTGTTTAGTTCCACATTCTTAAAGCATAGTCAATATGTAGTCGATGGAGTTTTACAGTTACTATAGTTTGCAGTCAGTTTTCACAAACTTATTTGTGTATAGTATGTATCAGTATTATTATTTTCCCACTATTCATATAAGAAATTTGTTGACGATTTGTACGATTTCATCTCGACGACTTTTTGTAGCGGATTTTCCATCAACAGCTGAACTGATGCAGAAATGTCTCACTGTCAACCCATTTGAATTAAAATTTCGTGAAGCAAATCGACGTATCAGTCAGTGCAGTGAAGAACTTCTTGAGCAGGTTTATCATTTTTACAACTTATACATTTTCTTCTACTGAAGATTGAAAAAGCATGTTGGAGGACCATGAAAGTAACATCAAATTATTTATTGAAAGTGGTAGTACGATTTAGTTCTGTGTAAAGCTGTTATTCCAGCTGAATTATTCCTTTTTTCTTCCTTTGCAGAATGGACTTGTTCCGGTGACGCTTTCATTGCCGACGACAGGTGGCATAACCTTGCTGAAACTGCCATCATCTTTGGCCCATTCTCCGGGTATCTTCTCAAACATCAACGTTCTTTCAGCGGATTTCGAAGGTGATGGGTTAAAAAGTGCTGACTTGTCGCGTTTAGTGCAACAGGTAAAAGTATTTTTGCTATAAATGGCAAATGAATGGAAAGAATATAGTTGTATTATTAAATAACGAATATTTCGGTTTTAGATGAAAGATAATGGTGGTTTGTCGACGCAGAATTCACGAACTAGTGAAGACACTGGGCAGGCACCTCGAACTGCTGATGTACTTAATGCCGTCCTTGATATGCATTCTGATAGGTTGGGATCGCTTGGTTTTCTTGGTACAACTGGCGCTACTACTCCGCCTTTGGTATATTTCATATCATTGCTTCAGAATGTAGTAATCGTGATCATTAATTTTTGATGCGCAACATTTTTTTTATAAAACAATGGAGACCATATAATATTGCTTTTCGTTGAAATGCCTGAAATATTTTACTTTCAAAAACAAATAGGAAAAATTTTTGTCTTGAAAAATTGCACGACGGATTATGTGTTTCATTAAAATAAGAGTAAATGTTAACTGTATTGATCTCTGAATCTTTGAAGCCTATAATTTGTCTTTTAGTAAATGTTCAAATTGAAGAATTCGAGATAACGTATTAAAATAAATGTATTACTTTCTGCTTTTCAGAAAGGACCATTGGGATCAATCATACCGACATCATCATCTGTTGCTGTAGCTCTTTGTTCTGATTTGTCTGCAGTTGCACCATCAACATCGTGTACTGCAGGTGTTATTGGTCCTGAATGTACATCCACTTTACTCTCATGTTCGCCATGTTCCTCAGAATCAGCTTCCGCTTCTTTAACACCGTTAATTTCTGCTATAAATAGTCCCGTTGTCAGTGCACCAACGAATATTTCAAGACCCGGAAGCTCTGCATCAGTACAAACGCCGTATGTAAATGCGATTTAACTTATAAATGTTTCGTTTTCGCTTGATTGCGTGATATCAGTATTGACACTGTTTATGTTACCATTTTTTCCTTTTTCAGTAAAAAACGATTGTCAGTACGCGCAGCAGCGGCAGCAGCAGCTGCTGCTGCAGCGGTAGCTGTACCATCAAGTATTGCGCCAGTTGTTTCAGCTCCTTTTCTAAGTGCTGTTGGAACAGTAAGTTTTTTTCATCTTACAAATAATATTTTAAGTGAAGATTTAAATTGGAAAAGGTGGTAAAATTTTGCAGAGATGAATAAAACAACAGAGTTTTAAGAATGTCGTGATTCGAATCAGAATTTTCAAAGTTTCAATATTCCTTATAAGTTAGATGAAG